ACAGAGAGGCCCTCATCAGGGTGCCGTCGGCCAGACAGTGTCGGCTGGCGACCCCCAGGGCAAGGGCCTTCTCTGTCGGAGCACCCACCCTCTGGAACGAGCTGCCCCCAGAGATCCGGGTTATTCCGGATCTCCCCTCCTTCCGCCGCGCCCTTAAGACCTGGTTGTTCCAGTGGGCAGGACTGGCCTAGGGGTATTTTAAATTGGTTTTAGCCAAATTTTAGTAGAAGCGGCCGATTATATATTTATTTTTAATGATTTTTTTAAAACTTCTATTGTATTGAATTGTTTTAAACTGGCTGTAAGCCGCCCTGAGTCCTACGGGAGAAGGGCGGGGTATAAATTTAATAAAATGAAAAAAAATGAAAAATAAAATGAAAGAAAATAAATCCATCCATCCTCTGTCAAGTTATGATGTGCGCATCTCACCTGCTAGAGTTTCTTTGGCTTCTGTGTGCATGGCTATGAGCGTATCACATATGCCATTTCCCAACAGCCCCAGGCCATGCAACAGCAGCTTCACATCATGAGGATCCAGTGGATTTTCATGAGTATCTCCTGGAATATAGATTTCAACTCCACGATTCCGCATGGCTCGGGATATTTCCCCATGTGTGGGATCCATTGAAAGAAAAAGTCTATTAACAAGAGCAGAACATACAGCATCTTATTTTGCTGCTAAAACAGAGTGGGAGATACAGTAGGAAAAGAGACAACTCAAGAACTTTGTAAGACACATACCCACGATCCTTACTAAAGGCAACCTCTGCAGTAGTTTTCTAAATCGCTCCTTCCACCAATCCAAAATGTTTGTATATATTTCATGTGTTTGATACTACAGGTTAGGCCAGTGGTGGCAAACCTATGGTACGTGTGCCAGAGACGGCACTCAGAGCCCTCTCTGTGGGCACGTGTGCCGTGCCCCGGAGATGGCGAGGGACTGGCCCCCGCCGCCCTGTCTCTGCCCACCCAGTCTGCCATGATCACCGCGGCCACGCCCACCCGGCACCCAGTGATAAATAAGTGGGTCTTGGGTTGCAGTTTGGGCACTGGGTCTCTAAAAGGTTTGCCATCACTGGGTTAGGCTATATCTTTGCTTAATGTAAAACAGGAAGCTATTTTTGTTTCCATTTTGGTCATTATAAATGTTATGATTTGGCAGCAGTTTTCTTCTCCAATTTTAATGACAGAACTCACAGTTTCTTTTTCCTCTAGTCTCGTGCCTTAACTACGAGACCAAATTGACTTTTCTGTTCTGTTTCTGTGCTTGTGAAAAGTAAAAGATCTCTAATGAAAATGAACTTCTGTGCACTTCCAAGATGAACGAAACCCAACTCAGTATACCTATTTTCAAAGTGACACTTATAAAAGATGGGGGATTCCACTGATTAATAGTCTAAAAGGCATTTCTATGAATGCTCAGTGAGTAAATGCAGAACCTGAAATTTGGATGAGGAACAACACTAGGAGTTACTCCATCTGTCACTCCTCTTTCGTTCAAGGTCAGGACTCCTCCGGGTTCAAGCAGAGCATTCAAGCGGTCCAACACAGAAGGGCTGCAAATTAAAAAGGGAAACCACAACAACCTCAGTGAAGTTATGAAATGAATTCAAAACAAATTCATGTGGAAACAAAACAGAAATCAGTTACTATTATTAATCATTTTATCAGCTTATTCACTAGTGAATTTCATTACTCTATGTGCATATATAAAATAATCACAAGTGTGCCTTGGATGAATAAGATCCCATCTACCTAGCAAGACATCTGTGATGTTGGGAATGAACATCTTACTTCAACAATTTGTACATATGTGCCCGCTTGCATTATATAGGAATAACAGGGATGTGAGTAATTACAAAATATAGTTTCATTTTTTCTCTCTATAAAATGCAAGATAGATGTGAGATCAAATGTGCTGAATAATCTGGTATCCACAAGGATCTTTTGAGGCAAAACAGATTAAACCCTGCATGAATCATTATCTAAATTGCACTAGAAATGGAGGGGTTGAGATCAGAAAACAGCAGCAAACTTATTATCTTTCTCTTTATCTATATAGGGACTGTTTAAATTCTTCTAAGGTATTTAATTTAATCAGCCTGGGTCAGAGACAATTAATTAATTCACAGTTCAGCATTATGACCAAAAAGACCCAGCACCATTTTATTGTGGTTCCCCCTCCCCCCAAATAAAAATCTTGTTAAGAACTGGATTAATGTTATACAACAGTATTAGGTAGTCTTCATGATACAGTTCCTCTTTAACATCAGATGTGTAGCTGACACTCTTTTTTTTTAACAATAGTAGGTAAAAACAAAACATTAATTCCTATAGTAATTTTACCTGCAGAAGTTTACATTGTCCATTAGAAGCCAGTCTCCAGCTTCTAAAGCCTGAACTAACATCCCATCAACCCATTCAAAAGTCCCATGGTTATGGCTATTCATAAATTGAACTACTTGCAACTTGAAGTGACGAAACTCTTCCACAAGTGTTGAAAATCCTAGAATGACAGTAGCCAACAAAAGGTATCAATATTTCTATGCATCAAGAAGCTGGCCTTCAACATTTTGAAAATTAGCCCTAAAAACTGTTGATCATGGAAAACAACAACACATACATTTTGGTTAACCATCATTGTTATTTTCATCTGAATTTGTAACTGCTAGGGTTAGGGTTAGGACAGGGGAGTCAAACTGCCGGCCCACGGGCCGGTCGCATCACGATGAAACCACGCCCACCCCATTGCTGGCAATGGGGAAAAAGTTCCCATACGTCACACAACGTCACATGATGTCGTGAGTTTGACGTGTTTGGGATAGGAAGTTGAACTGAAAATATAGAGTAATGACTTTAGTAAATTATATTGTCTTTCAAAACAGCAACAGTTGCAATAAAGCAGCAAATTTGGCGCCTCAAATAAATGCTCAAAACAAGTAAAACAAAATGCATGTATTCATATATAATTATAAATGAATAATAATATAAATAATTATAAATTATATATGATAAATTATATATTAATATTATATACTATGACTTTCCTGCATACCTGACTTTGAATATGAGTTGATCTTGGTATTGAGTCTCTGGACTAGCACAAGCACTCCTTCCAATTTATTCACTAGTTCAATGGTTATATTTTGATTCCCTTCCCCAAGAGATTTGGGTTTGAAATTAAGGATGAAATTGCTCCAGGCACGCAAGACAACTTCAGTGTCGTCCGGGCACATGGTATTGAGGAGGAGACTGTCTCTTAGAAGGGTGCTGACAACATTCTCCACCTTTTCCAGTAAGAATTTCCACGGCCGAATGATATCAACCTACAGAAGATTTTAATACATCAGTCACAGTTGCATCCCACTGCCATATTACAACTGGAGTTCAGCTACTTATTCTGAATGAATGCTCTGTCTTCAAACAGAACTAGGTACCTGACAATATGTAGTTAAGGAAGTAGCTGGCCTTATTAGTTAGCATAGACAAGGTTAAAGAAAAACTTGAGGTGGGACAGCTTCTGTTCAGTTTCTTTGGTAGCCATCTTTCCCATCTTCCTTATAGATTAATGTAAGCTAATTGTAGGGTCCTTGGTGCTCTCTGAGCTTGGTTGTTTTCTTGCAGATGTTTCATTACCCAACTAGGTAATATCATCAGTGCACTGGTAACGTTACCTAGTTGGATAATGAAACTTTGTAACAAGTTTCCCACAGTTCAGCCCTGAGCTACAAATATTCTCGTCTATGGTAAGCTAATTGCTAGATTGTGGGAGGCTATTCATTTTTGTGGCAATTACACAGCCAGCCAAGCTATCAGACATGAATCCAGATTTCCCTGTGAAAAAGAGACATAGGAAATGAATATAAGACTCTATTGGGCTGGTAACATGAAAATTCAACACTTAAATATTTTTTGCCATGAGGAAACTGCTATTAATCAAGTAAAATATATTCAAGAATTGTTCCCCATCACTATAGTCCGAGCCAATAAAGAAAGAAGGAAATTTGATTTGAGCCGCCCATTCCTCCAGGTAACCATAAATATGACAGTTCTAGCCTCCTAGTGCAAAAGTAAGCAAAACATTATCTAGTTTTGGGGGCCATGGGGGCTTTTAAAACTTGCAGAAGATCACTTCTCTGCTCCCTCCCCCAAATTTTGGCACAGAGCATACTAGCCATGCCACTGCATCACCTAGCAGGGTGTCTACCCTGCTCAGTTTGAAAAAAAAATTACCTGTTCCTGCTCTATTACACATAATAGGGAAGCTCCATTAATATTAATCCTATTTTTGTTTAAAAATGAATAAGAACTGGGGGGAAAAATAAAAACTTACTTGCTCAAATCCACCTAATAGTTCTGTAGTATCCATAGAACTGTTCATTGGCATAATCTTTAACTGATGGCCTGTTAGATATGCCAGTAACTGAAGCAGGCTGGTCTTGCCAGCAGCAGCTGGGCCCACCAAGATTACCATCCAGCTCATATGTACACATTTTATGATGGCTTCCAGGGGCTGTAGTGAATGGTGGAGAAGAGACAGATTTCTGCCTGGAGGGGGGACATAATTGGCACGGGAGAGGACTGAGTAGCCAACCTTCGGGAAAACAAAAACAGTGTTACCTTCGTATGTAAACAGGGAGAAATAGAAGGGTAAAGAAAATTCTACAATAGTAATAGTCTTTATTTCCTTTTACCTGAATGTCATAAGGTGTGATATAGAATTGCCTGCTTCCTGTATATGGATTACAATTCTGTCCAAAAATGTCCTTGAACAGAGACACGACCTAAATAGATAAAAAAAAGACGCAACCAAATCGAATATTGAATATCAAATGTTCAATCCTCCCCCCACCACAATTTTCCTATGAACAGAAAGCTTTTATCCAAAACTTCTCTTTCCCAAAAGGGACCGTCTGTAATCCTGGTGCAGACATTTAAAATCACTTGATTCAAGGTAATGTATCTCTGTCTCATCTTTTAACATCTGAGGTTGTTTATTGCCACAGACATTCTACAGCTCAGAGAGTAAAATTTGACTACGCTCAGGATCTGAGACTAGTGTAACTGGCACAGAATTGTGAATAATTTTAAAAGGCTGGTTTTTAAAGCTCTAAGGAGTTGCATAATCTATAAATAATTCACTCAAGTGATACCTCGGATAAATTGCCAAATCTTGAGAAGAAGACAGATGAGACCTCAATCACCCTATCATCAGATGAAGTTCTGGAAACTCCATGATCCAAGTGAACATATGCTTGCATATACTCATAAAAACACATTTGCATACATAAACAATTTTTCTTTTCACTAGGAGTAGGCAGCTTGGAGACCTCCAAATGTTTTACTTCTTTATTCACGTTATATCCCACCAACCTACTAAAGTATTTTTTTAAAAAAACAAAAACCAAAGCTGGAATGTAAAGATAATACTAATACTGGATAACAATTAAAAACATAAGGAAAAAATGGTTAAGCTTTTGTAAACAGCGAGAGACCATGGGCTAGCACAGCAGTTTTAATTGTGCAAACGCACTCATTACCATAGTTGCTATCCTACCACAGTGACAGCTAAGGATCAGGGGACATTCTAGACCGCTGGCCTATTCTTGTATGAGGAGTAGGTCAATCCAGCAAGATAGAGCAGACTAAGAAACAGGCACTTTTCTTAGGCACTAAGCTACTTTATTAGAACAGCTATAGTAGCAGAACCTTGCAAGTCTGAATACTCTTCCCTTGCTCCTTCTTTTATCTTCACATGAACTGGAGATGGACGACTGCCTGAGTCATCTTTTGGTCTAGACCAGGGGTAAGCAACCTCGGCTCTTTTATGACTCATGGAATTCAACTCCCAGAATTCCTGAGCCAGCATGTTGCCTACCCCTGGTCTAGACTCAAGTCTTGTTGACCTGACTGTTGCCTTGGCAATGGATCTTCCCTGTTCTTCAAGGCCATATTCTACACTGATTAGAGAGACTCCTAATTGGTATAATCTGCAAGAGACTGAATGTCAGTCTCCAAGCCTAGTTTATTTTTTTACCAATACTACTTCTATCTTATCTAGAATTAATTTCAACTCATTCTCCCCAGAGTAAATTTAGGCAATAATGAAACGATAACAATTATCCATTTCTATGGACTTGAATGGCAAAGGGCTCTAAAATTAATTATCACCAACACATTGATGGCACTTAGCTCTAAAGCTCTGGATGACTTTCCCCAAGAGATTTCATATAGGTATTGAACAGCATCCCCCATAAGACAGAACCATAAAAAACACCAAAGAGCAAGGACTTCCTTAGCAAGATTCAGATCGTAATCTCAAGTCAATATTAGCCATTCTTCCTAGGAATCCTGGGAATTGTTCCCAGTGAGCACCAGCTTGAGAAACAGATTCTGTATGGGGTTCTTTCTATTATATACCCAATGCATCAAAACATATACCTAAACTCAAGCTTTGGGAAAAGAAGTTGCCTTAACAGAAATCATTTTGAATTATACAATTGAAGACAGTATGACATATTCAGATATATAAACATTAAATCAAAATCCTAAAATAAGCAAGTAAGTTCTCTCTGTTCTTTACCATTTCTCTGTCTGTTTTTGTTCTCATTCTTTCTCCGTAGATCAAAAACATGTGTTTGCCAGGGTCATAACTCCCAGGTGACTGATCTATAAGCATTAGCTGACACCATCGGAAAAGGTCACGCAAGTTAAATTCCCAGGGTGCACCTTTATGGCCCCACTTCTTCTCAGTTGTAATTTCTTGATCCATCTGAATAAAAGTACCAATGCAAAGGGTTACAAATACCAATGTGATTCAGTTCTTAAAACGATATTAGAAGGCCATACCCAGCACTACATTTAACACATAAAGAATCTCAATTGGAAATCTTACTATTCATCCCTCTCCACTGAGCCATGGTGGTGCAATGGTTAAAATACAATATTGCAGGCTAACTCTGCCCACAGCCAGAAATTCGATCCTGATGGGGCTCACTTCCATCCTTCCAAGGTCGTAAAATGAGGACCCAGATTGTTGGGGGCAATGTGCTGACATTTGCAAACCTCTCAAACAGTGCTGTAAAGCACTATGAAGTCCAAGGGCTATTGCTATTTATCTTATCGCAATTTGAGGCACTATATTTACCTTGTTGTTGAATTCAACCATCTTTGCAATAATCTCCTTGTCGATGGCTGGAAAAAGAGTATTCCCAATATATTCCATGTCTGATGCAGAAAGTGGGTCTATATAAACCTGTGCCATTTTTAAGGGAAAAAAAGTATTATTACATACAGGAGACACATGTATTCTAAAGATATAATCATTTTGGCAATGCTGAACTTAAAAGATTTCCATCAATATATTTAAATAAAAACACTCTACTGCAAAACAAAGCAACGTAGTCATTCCATACGTTGCAGGAATATCGGAAAAGCTCAGGAGGATCTCCAGCCAACGCAACATACGTGCACACTTCAAACCCAAGAACACACTAAGGCAGAAGCTTGTCCATCTCAAGGATAAAACACCCAGACACAAACTGAGCAATGTAGTATATGCAGTGTAATGCAATGAGCCATGTGCAGATCTGTACATTGGGAAAACAAAACAACCACTTCATAAATGCATGGCACAACATAGGAGAAGAAGAAACCCATCAGGACAAGATTCAGCAGTCCATCTGCATTTAAAAGACAAAGGCCACTCTTTCGAAAACAGCACACCGCTGGTTTGAAAGAGGGGTCAAAGACGCTATCTATGTAAAAAACTGAACGGCCCTCTTTCAACAGAGGGGGAGGGATGCGACATCATCTATCTCCAGTCTACAACACACTCCTTTCAGCAGTTCCAAGAAGGCTCCACACCCATTTGCACCATTCAGGTGACCTTGAGGACACAGATAAACCCCCAAATGGCCTCAACGACTCTGTAAACGAATGCAAATGACCAGCTGCCTGCAAGGAGTATAAATCCTTCCATTCCCCACCATCCAAGTCAGAGGTGAAGAAGCTTCTTGGATGAGAAGCGGAAGGTCTTCAAAGAAAAACAATAAAGTCTAGTTGCCTTTTGAAAAAGCATCTTTGGGACAACTATGACCTGGATGACTGAGAACCTCTATAGACACTTTACTACAAAGGGATTGAATCAGCAAAAATTTAGCCTTCATGTTTATCTAGAATGGCATAATTAACATTCATTTTAAAAGAAATGTTAAAACAAAAACGACAGTGGAAGAAATTATGAACTTGCCTGTGTAAATCTGTTCAAAAATGACTTAGGTAACCCTTTTCTGCCACCTCCTTGCCTGTAGGGATTCTGGCATCCAAAGATCTTTGTCATCTTGTGCTGAACATAAAAACTCATCCCCAATTCAGGTACATAAATCTCTGCCCGGTGGTCAAAACAGGCATTCAGGCCTTCTAGGACGGACTGAGAAGCTAAGTTCAGCTATTGAAGACATATAAAGATTAAAAAAAGATTACATTCCCCTTCTTTTTCATAAATAGATAGATAGATAGATAGATAGATAGATAGATAGATAGATAGATAGATAGATAGATAGATAGATAGATAGATAGATAGATAGATAGATAGATAGATAGATAGATAGATAGATAGATAGATAATTAGAAAGATAGAGATAGATAAAAAGATATAGAGAGATAGAAAGATAGAGATAGAAAGAGAGAGAGAGAGAGAGAGATACAGATAGAGAGATAGATAGAGATAGGTAGATAGATAGAGAGATAGAGAGGAAGATAGAGAGAGATAGGTAGATAGAGATAGAGATAGATAGAGATAGGTAGATATAGATAGATAGATAGATAGAGAGAGAGATAGAGAGAGATACAGATAGAGAGATAGATAGAGATAGGTAGATAGAGAGATAGAGAGGAAGATAGATAGAGAGAGATAGGTAGATAGAGATAGAGATAGATAGAGATATAGAGAGAGAATTAGAAACATAGAGAGATAGAGAGATACAGAGAGAGACAGATACAGAGAGAGATATAGAGAGATAGAAAGATAGAGACAGATAGATATAGATATAGATAGAAATAGACAGATAGAGAGAGAGAGGGATAGAGATAGTTAGATAGATTGATAGAGAGATAGAGAGAGAGAGGGAAAAAGAGGGAAAGAGAGATAGAAAGATAGGTAGAGATAGAGATAGACAGAGAGATAGATAGGTAGATAGATAGATAGGTAGATAGATAGGTAGGTAGGTAGGTAGGTAGGTAGAGAGAGAGAGAGAGAGAGAGAGAGAGAGAGAGAGAGAGAGAGAGACAGAGATAGATAGATGAGAGATAGATAGAGATGAGCGATAGATTAGATAGAAAGATAGAGAAACATAGAGAGAGAGATGAGTGAGAGAGAGAGAGAGAGAGAGAGAGAGAGAGAGAGAGAGAGAGAGAGAGAGAGAGATGAAAGATGAACTCACTTCATCTAATACAATCCAGTGTCCTGCTTTCAATGCTGCAAGCAATGGTCCATCACGCCAGGCAAATTCCCCACCTTTGCCTCCTTCAACAGGCAGGTCTGTGCCAAACAAATCTGTTATATCCTAAGAAACAGGAAGAGAGATGGCAAGCTTTACAAATACGAAATGGTGAGAATTAAAAAAAAAATCCATCCAGGCATGCAATGTTTTGAGACAAACAAAAAATAATCAACAATACTCTACTGGAGAAAAAAAAATCAAGGTATTTGTTTTCAATCAGTGAATACCATACACATATCAACACACCAGTATTCCAGGCTAGCTGACTTTGCATTGTTGTGCTAAGACAGTCGGAACCTCTGAGGTATATGGAGTCTCCCAAAGTGTTGGCTGCAATGTCCAGCAATTTCAAAATGTTGTTACCAGCTTGTAATTTTTTAAGACTGTGATAATTAAAAGTTAAGAGAGTAATTGGGCCAAGTCGAATTAATCTTTTAAAACTCAAGTATGTGTTTTATTTTTATTCCACCTTTATTACTTTTTAAGTAACTCAAAGCGGAGAACCTATTTAATATTCCTTCCTCCTCCTACGTTCCCCACAACTCTGTAAGTGGGCTGGGTTAAAAGAGATAGTGATTGGCCCAAAGTCATCCAACTGGCTTTCGTGCCTAAGGCAAAATTAGAACTCCAGTCTTTTGGTTTCTAGTCCAGCCAGCACCTTAGCCGCTAGATCAAATGAAATTTTAGTTATGTCCTGATTTCACCCCTCTACTTTGGGAATGTGATCCTTAGCAGGCCACTCAAATGCTAAGGACAGTCTTGATATGAAAAAAAGTTGGATAACTTTGCTGTGTATCTGCAGTGCCTACATCCTTCTGGTAAAGAATATAAGAAGCAATGACATCCCGTATGGCCGTAATGGTGCGTAAGGATATCTATAGCATACAATACTTCAGATATTTGGTTTCCTATTGAAAACTCCTGTCTCTCTTTACAGTATATATTATTTAATTTTTCTTTGTTGTGGCATGGTAGGATATTTAGGCTAGGATATGAAAAAAAACAAAAACAAAAGAAAACACCATTGTCTCAGTGAGATTAATAATTGTGTCATTGTGAGAATATGGAATATTTCCAATAATTGCCTCTGAAAAGCTGAGCAGAGCACAGAGTCTATTGTGCATGTGAAAACCCCCCAGAAAACTCTGGGAAAATTGGTTAAGATTAGATTAATGATTAAAAATCACTAATTTACTTAATGTACTTCTAAACTCTCTTCTCCAGTGAGTAGTATTTCAAGACTTAAGAGGAGTATTGAACTCTTTGACATTTGTAAAACAGTTTTTTGCATGGTCAGAAATTCCAAGCTACCCCACAGCCATCTACCTACTGTTTGTTCAGAGAGATTGATTCGAATTAGGCGATTTCCTGAAGCCTTGGCCAAGGCTGCCACTAAGCTGGTCTTCCCGACCCCTGGAGACCCTTCCAAGAGAATAGGTTTGCTTAGCTGCAAAGCTCGTAACAACCGCTGTGCATTCATTGAAGTGGTCCCTGCGTTTAGAGCATAGTCTAACAAATTGTTCTTCTGGTAGAGTGAGCCTGTGGTAAAAACAAAGATTACAGACTAGAATAATGTCAAAGCAGTATATGGAAAACTCCTGTTCAATATTTCAAATAATCAGTCACGTCCTTCTCTAGGATATTCCATTTTATTTATACCCATTCTGATTTTTATTTCATTTGACCTATTATCTGTGTCCACTGAGAAAGCTCAGTTCTCAGTGGGCCAGTTTTGGGGTTTGCCAAGACTTCAAGATCTATTTTCTCTCTTTAAGATTCCTTTATATGTGACTAGTAGTCATTAACTACATAAGCAACAGGCCCATGGCTGAAAAATCAAGGAACACCTTTTCCTTACAGATGGGAGAATCAAATGTTTGAATATTCTCTCATGAATTCACCCATAACTGTATGCACATTGAAAATCAGCATACCAAGAGAGCTAAAAGCATTTTTCTTGAGATTGTATCTTCTAATTTGCAGAGATGGCATATTTTTACCATAGGGAATTGTGCAAAGTTTCATTCATTCGTTTGTTCATTAATTCGATTCTTATTCTGCCTTAATAGGTAATTCAGGTTGGTGAACATACATAATATTCCTTCCTCCCCCTATTTTTCCCACAACAGCAACAACAACCTATACTACTGGGAGGACCATTCCACAATATTTTTCTCTATGTCTAAACAAGAGCTTGTCATTTCATATAGTCTGCTGTCAACTCGGTAAATTTGTGAAAAAATAGATTCTTGCCTCTTGATATATAAAATGGATGGATCCCTACGTAGTTCTCCTTCCAAGCCATTTCCCTTTCTCTTTCCAGATTATACATTCTCAGTTCATTCTTCTGATAATTGCCGAGTCGCACAATTTTGGAAATTTTTCTACACAAATAATCCAGACATTTTTCACGTGCCAGAGTGGTCGAGCCAGAAGAACAGGATATTGTGCCTATGTTTTTTTTAAAAAAAACGAACACACAAAATAATGGAAATAACAAAAGAGTTTATACAATATTTTAAACTGACCATTACTGGAAAAATAGGAAAGTTTTTTTTAAAACAGATCCTATACCTATACCTAAAATAGATTAATAGCAAACTTGTAAAAAACAAAACACTCAGCAATTTAAAATTAAATGTATCATTCATAGGGCAAGTCTTAAGAACAAGGAAACATGTGGACAAATATGTCCTCACTCAGGCAAAAGCATTTCAATGTAGAAGCTCACCTAATCTCCAAAGGAAGTTTGTTCCACAAAGTGGGCAGGCCATACTAATGATGCCCACCTCTACTCTATGGTGGAGTATTAATAACCTATGGCCGTGGTGGTGAACCTATGGCACGTGTGCCACAGGTGGCACGTAGAGCCCTCTCTGTGGGCACGCAGGCCATCGCCCCAGTCCTAGGCCTTCAACTGAGTTTTATAAAACCTTTTCGCTTTAGGCCTCCGCTGCCGTGTGCCAAAAAAAAAGGTTCAATCAATCAATCAATTTCAACTTCTCACGGTGAAAAAAAAAAGATCTCGCACAGTTGGAATTGATTGATTGAACCTTTTAGTCCCATCCAGTCTACTGTTACCACCGCGGCCACGCCCACTCTATGGGCCACACCCACCCAATGGGCTACACCCACCCGGTACCCGATGATACATAAGTGGGTTTTGGGTTGCAGTTTGGGCACTCAGTCTCTAAAAGGTTCGCCATCACTGACCTATGGCATTTCAGTTTAGATTGTCCAGATGGCATCTCCTCTGAAGGATTTTTCCTCAGCACCCTTCCAAACACCTCGTTGATCTACTCATGACTGCGTGCTAGAGATTCACCATCCACCCAATTCCTTCCCTTGTATTCTGCACCTAGACCAGGGGTAGGCAACCTTGGCTCTTTTATGACTCGTGGACTTCAACTCCCAGAATTCCTAGGAGTTGAAGTCCACAAGTCATAAAAGAGCCAAGGTTGCCTACCCCTGACCTAGACACATTAAGCCACCACACTCACATAAAACAATTCTGACTCTATCCAGTATTCACACATCCAAAAATATATCCCATGTGTAATAAAGTGTTCCACTGAGGCTGTCTGTCTCCACTGCTAAATCATTCTGCCATGAAGAAAATCCTGAAGATTTACCTGAGCCAATGCCATCAATATATACGAGACATGCAGCATGGACAAAAGTCAGCACTGGAGAAACGCGAAAGAACTGGTGATCCTCTGAACCACCAGGCAGTCTATCTTGTGCCATAACATTCATGAAATTGACCCATGACAGAACATTCCGGATGCTGAGAATACAATTAGGCCCAAATTCTTGATTACTCAGCCAATTTATGAAATCCATCATGAGCTTTGCTATATCCATTCCTATGGCAACCAGGAGGGGAAGAAGAAAATACAAGAATGAAATCAATATAGACAGAGAAAAGGTTTTTTTTTTGTGACTATACTTTTAAGAAACACAAATCAATAACCAGAAAACTTTTCTAGGGAAGTTAACATGGAAGTTAACATGGAAGATAAAAGGCTGAAAAGTTTAAAAACCTATAAAATACTGTCAAAATATGTCTTAGCAAAAATGCAAGGGACTGCTTGTTGAAAACAAGCTGTCTTAAGGTTGGGGATAAAGCATTTTTCAGTGAGATTTACCTTCATTTTTTGCAGATAGACAGAGTCCTGGATAAAGATTGTGCTTGACAATCTGTATTAAATCCTCACGGCTATTACTTTGCGGACACCATATTTCGGTAAACCTATTACGCAGGGCAGGTGATAGCTGTGGGCAAGAAAACGTAGCTGAGGTTACTGTCAGCATATTACAGCTGTAGTTTGTTAGCTTATTTTATGGATTTTTTTAAAAAAAAAACACAGAAGGATTAACTGCAGGGATTAATATATTCAATTGTTGATTCTGTCAACCATATCAGCATCACACATGCAAGAAAGCATAACCAATTCTTTCAACTGTAACGTCACAGGTGTAATTAGTATGACGGGATTCATAACACAGAACTAAACTGGTCTTCGTTACCTCTTTCTTCCCAAAGTCACCCCCAGGATTCATTGTAGCTAAAATGCGAAATTTCTTTCCTGCAGTCAGCAGCTCTATTTCGCTGTCCTCACTAGCCTTCTCTGCTAACACCAGTGTCTTTTCAGTTTCCAGGACGCTAGAAGAAAAACCCCAGAGACATGGTTGCATTACTGTATTGTACTATACACAGTGGAGAAATTTGTGGTACCTTAAAATTAACCTGCTAAATATGGTAAATCCTATACCAGTGATGGCGAACCTTTTAGAGACCGAGTGCCCAAACTGCAACCCAAAACCCACTTATTTATCACCGGGTGCCAGGTGGGCGTGGCCCACTGGATGGGTGTGGCTGTGGTGGTCATGGCAGATTGGGTGGGTGTGACCAAAATGGGCGTGATGACCTCAATGTTGCTCGTGGGGAGGGACGCCTGTGGGGGCCGGGCAGGGTTGGGGAAGATCCAGGGGGTCTCTGGCAGGTGGGGCAGTGGGCAGGAGGCTCGTCCTGCGGGGTGAGGCGAGGCAAGGTGAGGCAGGGCGGGGGTGCCATTGTCACAGGGCAAGGTGAGGCAGGGGCCAGGGCGGCTGCTGCCTGACACCATCAGCCCCTGCATACAGTGGCCAGCGAGCATATGGGTGCTGGGATGCATCTGGCCATGTGGGACCTCAGCGAGTTAGTGGGCGGCTGGTTGAAGAGGGACAGTTGCCATCTCCGGGGCAAGGCGAGCGTGCCCACAGAGAGGGCTCTGTGTGCTGCCTATGGCACGCCACCACTGTCCTATACTCTTGCTAATAAAAAAAACCCCAAAACTAAACAGAAGCTTGACAATTCCAGTAAATAAGCAAGATCTGATAATCCTAACAATCAGAAGCTGCTGGAATGTGACAGTACAGTATTTAATCTGCATTAGTGATAAACACATCAAGACTGAAATGTCCTGTTTTCAGGCGCATACCTATTAAGTCTTTCTAGAACAGAATCGTCTGCTAATGAAATCTCATCCATGAGAAAAAAGCCATCCTCTTTCATTGCTAGAACAAGGGCTCCATCATGCCATTCAAATAGCCTAGAGCTGTCAACTTCGTCCTATTAGGAAAAAAAGAGAAAGGAGATTCAGCACAAACACTGGAGCGTTTAAAGTTCTTAGATGTACTCAGCATCTTATAGCCAACTGACCTTGTCCTTTGATCGCTGTCTAACTGGTCGCAGTCCTCCCAGGAAGTCTGATGTCTCCATGTGCAAGTGGCAATTCACAGAATACAACTTCTGATTTGCTAGAGCTGCAAAGATCTGACAAATAGTTGTTTTGCCACACCTGTAAAGTTGGTAAAGTCAATTGCATTAAGCTTATTGTCATCTTAGTAGTCGATATGATGGTTAGTAGCCATTACGGCAGAGGTTGAACGTCAAAGTGAATAGTGCCATGTCATAAGGAACGGTTGCTGGAATTGGGTATGTCTAGTTTAACGAAGAGAAGGACGAAGGGGGACATGATAGCAGTGTTCCAATATCTCAGGGGCTGCCACAAAGAAGAGGGAGTCAAGCTATTTTCCAAAGCACCTGAAGGCAGGACAAGGAGCAACGGGTGGAAGCTAACCAAAGAGAGAAGCAACCTAGAACTAAGGAGAAACTTCCTGACAGTTAGAACAATTAACCAGTGGAACAACCTGCCTCCAGAAGCGGTGAATGCGCCAACACTGGAAGTTTTTAAGAAGAAACTGGACAGCCATTTGTCCGAAATGGTATAGGGTTTCCTGCCTGAGCAGGGGGTTGGACTAGATGACCTCCAAGGTCCCTTCCAACTTTATCATCATTATCAGCAGGGCAACAATGCAGTGGCAGAAGGCCCGTCAGGTTTTGAGCTGCAGGTTCTTCTTTTTTTTTACTACTACTCTTAAATCTTATTTTACAAGCTTTTCTAATGTTTCATGTTCTTCCATCTTCAAAACACAAAAAGGCCACGCTGTCATTTTTTGACATTTGTGGTTGAAGTGCTTTAAAAGCCAATAAAAATAGAAATAAAATAAACCAAGAGCCACTGACAACAAGGGAGCCTTAAATTTCCCACATGTGGCCTTATGCTCTGTGGCTCAGTTCAAAACGGAGATTAACCAAGAAGAGATTAGTTTACCCTGTATCTCCAACCAGTAGTACGGGTTCACCGAACTCCAAAGCTCGGCCTGCCAAGACTGCAAGTCTCCTCATTCCTTGAGTCCATACAATGTGGCTGAATTCCTCATCCATTCTAGGTAGGCCAGCAGGTGATTTAGCTGATGCAAAGGAGATTTAAAGAGATAAGCAGAGGCAAAAAGCAAGAAACGAGAAGTGAAGGAACATCAGCTAAGCATTAAATTATTTTAATAAATTCTGAATCTGAAAATAAAATACAGATAGTCCTCGACTTACAACAATTCATTTAGTGACCGTTTGAAGTTACAACGGCATTGAAAAGTGACTTGTGACCATTTTTCACATTTAGGACCAGTTCAGCATCCCCAGAGTTAAGTGATTTACATTCAGATGCTTGCTAACTGGTTCACGTTTATGATGGTTGCAGTGTCCTGGGGTCATGTGATCAGTTTTTGTGACCTTCTGACAAGCAAAGTCAAAGGGGGAAGTCAGATTCACTTAACAACGGTGTCACTAATTTGACAACTGCAGTGATTCACTAAACAAATGTACTACCTGTATTAATTCCCACTTAAGACAGTTATATTAAAATGTGCCCTGTAGCTACAATGGTAATTAAAATTTGTAGCCCCAGTCATTTCAAAATTGAATTTCCCTTATGACAAGATCACTGCTTTTCTTTTCAGTCACCAATTATTAAATGCACCAAAGGAAGGGCAAAATTGCTATCTGCAACATTAGGCTATAGAAATTGCCTGGTGCTTTTCTCATAGCTTTGGTTGTTTTTTGGCTTCCAAAAATATATATACTACTATATGTTCTAATATGTTCCAATATATAACATCATTGGTTTGGCTTGTAAATTATTGAATAATCAAAAATCAATTCTGCAAACTGACCTAGCTGTTTTTTCACACTTTCTTCTGAGAAGAGATATTGGGGATCCAATTTTCTTTTAAAATATTTTTCAATGACTGCTTGAATGATATCCACTTCTTCTTGCTTTCTGACTCTTCCAGCTAAAAGCATAAATCCTAAGAATAAAGAAACAAGGATAATGATTACTTTAAAAAAAAAGAAGCTGTTTTGAGTAGCTGGTTAAGGTGCTGGCCCCAGAAATCAAAAGACTTGAGTTCTAGTCCCATCTTGGCCATGAAAGCCAGTTGGGTGATTTTGGGCCAGCCACTCTTTCTCAACCCAACCCATCTCACAGGATTGTTATTGTGAGGAAAACAGGGGGAAGAAAGAGTATTATGTATTTTCACTGCCCTGTGTTATTTATAAAATAACAAAAGTGGGATAAACATGTTAGTAAACGAACAAACAAACAAATAGAAGTGGCATTTGATATTTGGGTTACCAGATGACAGACAGACAGATTGTGTAAACTGAAAAAAGGAGGGAGGTCTCACCATCATTTGCTAAATGCTGAAGCCAATCATAGTCCTTCACTGTCTGTTCTGTTAATCGGTACCTTTCTGCCCAGCGAAACAGGTCACGGAGAGTAATGAAGCCATGCTTGCCTGCAAACACCGATGAACCTCTGCGATAAGACTAAAGGAAACAGCAAAGCAAGAGCTCACTATCCAATATTATATTATGTGCCCACAATGATTTCTTCAGATGCCTTGAAGTACATTATCCTTCCCATCACATTCCCCAGATTGGTCTACTGGCTCAATATATCTTAGCAGCTATTCAGTGGAATTTTCATTACAGACAAGAAACTCCCAAGCAAGATGCAGATGACCTATATGAGATCTGTGAGAAACAGGTGCTCAAATGGGATTTTGGACTCTCTGATAAAGGTTCTTTTTAATGTGATGTCCTACAGCAGGGGTCCCCAATCCCCAGTCCACAGCATGCCAGCAACTAGGCCACGCAAACAAATGAAGCCCCATCCACGGGATGCAGGCCGCATACAAAACCATGCCCCCTCCAGTCCACGGAAAAACCTTTCTCCATGGAAGTGGTCCCTGGTGCCCAAAAGGTTGGGGACCTCTGTCCTAGAGGTTCACAAGAGGGAGATACTCTATCTCCTACTGCTCAGGAAAGGCAGAGATCATGTGATCTAGATAATAGTGCAATCAGTTGTTTCCTTTGGTTTCATTCAGTGGCTGAGCCCAAAATCAAATATAAACTGAGGTGTCACTGAACAGCGAAAAAGACAAGAAAATAAATCCCCCTCAAACTGGGCCTAGCCACAAATGTGAAATGGGAAGGGTAGTGAGAAGAGCACCTTTCCTCTACGTAACCAAATTAACCAATTTCCCACATTTATATAGCTGTCCATCAGACAAGTTCATACTTGGAAAAGATATACGTGAAATTCAATTCAGCCTACTTTGTTGGCTTCCTCTTAAGAAAACAGCACAATAGTTCGCAGTACCTGTAGTTCCAGCATGACTTTGATCAATTTGCTACAGTAAGAAGGTGGAAGCTGGCATCTTTTGTGCAAAATGTTTTCCAATTCTGTACTGGGTAACTCATCAAAATGCAGCTCCACAAATCGATTTCTGAAGGCTCTAGATAAAACCTATAAAAAGTTGTTAATTGAAACAGTACTCCTGGAACGCCTATCACTAAAATAAATAAATAAATAAATAAATAAATAAATAAATAAATAGTTTATTCCTTATACCCATCATTTATTCAAAGAAGATCAACATTTTTTTCAAAGATTACAAATTCATTTTGAAATATCCATTCTGCGGAAGTTGAGACAATGCACATCTTATATACGACGTTTCTTTTATGTTATAGCAAAAGCACAATACACATACACATTAAAGCATGTGTATTAGCAAACTGCTAATAAACATGGAAGGGAGATGTCCAGAAAGACAGACCTATGTTACAAATACTTATATAGATCTGGCAGTTCTCTCTAGATCGAGATCATTCTCTTGTCCATCACGCTTAATGGAAAAATAATCACTTTCAGTTTTTCTGTCTGTATTTTCCCTCCTGGTAGTGATTTCAGTGATTAATTAGAGAAATGTATTTATGTGCAGTGTATCATCGTAAGGACAGAAGCATGAAGAAATAATGATCTTAGGACAGTCGACAAACCTTCCTGCCTCCATAGAGTCCCGGAGGATTCTGGGTTGCAAACAGCATGAATCGTGGATGAGCTCTGATTGTTTCTTGAGTCTCCGTAATGAACAGCTCTCTGTTGTCATCCAACAATCTGTTCAGTGCCTCTAAAACATCGGTAGGCGCCAAGTTCAGTTCATCCAAGATAATCCAGTATCCCTTTCGCATTGCATCAATGAGGACACCTTTAAAGCAATTACCAAACAGTACGTGTGTGTATTTTATTTATATTCTGCAGTGAGAAGCAGTGGAATTTTTTTTGGAAAAATCAAAGAATCAGAATGGGAAGGGGCTTTTAGAAGACATCTACTTTGACACCCTATCCAGTGTGGTATCCACTAGAGCAGTGTTTCCTAACCTCAGCAACTTTATGATAGGTGAACGTCAACTCTCAGAATTCCCCATTCAGCATGCTGGCTGGGAAATTCTGGGTGTTGAAGTCCATCCATCTTAAAAGTTGCTTAGATTGAGAAACACTGCACTAGAGTACCCTCTGGAACACTTCGCCTCCACACTACAAGCTGGTTCTTTCAGTACACTTTAAAGTTTGAAGAGGTTGTTTTTCTCCTTCCTGAAGAGTGAATGGATATAAGTGTTAAGGTAGGTTGAGTAGTTAATATTGTGCATTGTTGTGTTTTGCAAGTTTTTTTATCTTATTACTATTGGAGACCTGTCAGCCACTCAGACTTGCCTATAGCAGCATATAAACCTGATATTAATCAGTCGATCAATCCTATGACAGATGACTATTCACCCTGTTTAAGCTCTCCAGTACAAGAGAACTCATCTCTTCATGTAGAGTTTGCTCTACTAGGGACAGTTTATAATTAAGAAATTCTTAATTATATAGTTATAGTCTAACACTATTTCCTTATAAATTTTAATCCCCTGATTCTGAGCCCTGCCTTCTAGGATCACAAAGAATAAGTCTGCTTCCCCTTGCAGTTACTTTGAATATAAATCCAAATTATCAGTTACCCTGCATAAATAGAACAATCCAACAATGCATTAGTATTAATTAAATCACTCCACAGCCTCATGAGAGTAATTTTAACTTAACTCAAATGATTTTCTAATAATGACAAAAAAGAAAAAAAAACAGTAACCCGTGGACCTAAAAGTAGCATCCCCTGAATTTATAGTGGCTTATTTTTAAATAGAAATGCAAGTACTGCTTATTCTCTTTGAACTCACTTGTCATTTTATTGCCACTCTCTGGATTCTAACTTCTGCTGCACACACTTGAAGATTCAATTCAAAGGGGTAATTTTACTGAATCACTTTTGAACTGAATATTTGAAATGCGTGTCTGCAAAATCCTTCGGTATTTCATGTTCTCATTTTCGTTCTTAGCTCATGCTTCCTTCCAATCTAATAGTCAATTTGCAAGCCTACCTGCCAGCAGAATATTATTTATTTTCAGGAACAGGCCACTTTCATAGAACAGAACAGTTCTCACTAAACATGAGCTACCATCCATGCTCTAAAAGTAATGCTAAAGCAAAAACAACTTCCATAATCCTGTAGAGTACAATAGTGGTACAAGTAATAATAGTACAAATACTAACAGTTTTGCAATCTTTGAAATAACATTCAATGTAACCCTTGCTGGAAAAGAAAAGAAAGGCCAAGAAATTTGCATAGTAACCACAATCCTCCTACCTTCTTTAAATATCAGCTTTCCAGATATATCTGATGTATAACAGCCTATATACTCCTGAATGTCAGTATGCTCGTGATTATTAATCCGAACACAGTGGTTTCCACTTGCAGCAGCCAACCAACGGATTAAGCTGGTTTTACCAATGGAAGTATCTCCCTGAATCAGAACAGGGTATGTCCTTGAAGAATTAGCAGATCATAAAGTTAGAGATAAGATTCTACAGTGGCCAAGATCTTTACAGAAAAATTCCTCTACATTTAATTTTTTTTACAGTCTTACTACATATGTTGCTTAAAGTAGCTTTCAAACAATGAGATTTAATGTTATTGCTATCAGCAAGGTCTAAGTTGATATCGAGAAGCATGTTGCATTAAACAAAAGTCAGCACTACTTTTATGTATCAAATTAAATGAAACTATTTTCACAGAACAGAAAAAAGAATTAAATCCAACGTACCCAGCTGATACAACTCGGACAATATCTTTGAGGTTAAGTTTGACTGAAGGTGTGAGAATGTAAGTCTCATCAATAGTTGGTTCGTTATCACCAGCTGAAATCCAGTAGCCTTCTACTTTTATCATTTTGCCTCCTTTAGGCTCTGGTAAGGACTAAAATGGTGTTACAAAAATATAAATTTAAGCTATCGACAGACCCTCTTAAAACATCATGTTGCATTTCCCCCTTCTGAGAACTAGGTGAGTTTTATTCTAGCCACCTAGATATAATACCAATAATAAACTCAATTCATATCCATTCTTCAATGGCCTATGTAACGGAAAGGCAAGATTACAATAAAATCCAAGTAAATAGAATAAAGCAAGATGTAACCAGTATGATTACAAGATTAAAACTCCACTGTAAGGCTATGTACAAAGCATAAAACACTGCATTCTTATCTCAGAACAAAGTGGCTCCCTTTGGAATTAAAACAGATATTCAAAAATTCTTACAGCATCATGCTTCATCCCAGTAGTGTAAAAGTTTTTGCGGTGCTAGTCCCTTATGAATGCTATCTATAGCAGCAAATATTATCCACATCCTGCTTTTTGTTTGCTCTAGACACATACATTTAAAAATAATTTCTATGGCCAATTTTTCCATAGTTTGGATGGAGCGTAACCCCCAGTAGGGATTGAATCTTGCCTAAATTTGTGGCTGAAGGTTGAAAAGTAAGAATATAATGAGCTTGCTTTAGTTTATGTAATAGAACACTTGAAACAATATAATCAAAATGCCTCATTTTATCTTGAGCTGCGACAAAACACTGAAACAATGGGGGTTTGTTCTGAAAACTCAAAACTCAAGCTCAGAGCATTGAATAGTGAGAAGATATCCTTCATTTCAACAGCAAAAAATTAATTCTAATTATTTGAATACTTGCCTGCTTTAGACTTTTTGTGTTTCCAAACAAAATATGCTGACATATGAGGTGTTGAACAATTGGGTAAGAGTTTCTATCAAGCTGAGTAAGAAAACCGAAGCAAAAACCCTACAAGAAGCAAAATATTACAATGCATTATTGGCAGGTGCAGGAGGGGGACGCTCATAAAATTTTAAGTATGAAGGTGAAAAAATATTATTTTCTGATTACAATTTTCAATGTTCAGGAACAAAGCGAGGATAATTACCTCATAAAGTGAGCGCTGGATATTGTTGCATGGATTGGACGATGCAAACTTCAAAGCTCTACACAAGGTGCGAAGGCTATAATGAGGCTTACGGCCTGTCCCATCCATCAATTTTGATTCACACTCTTTTCTCACTGTCAGATAGAAGCTACAAAGGTAAAGAAAGGAATAAATAACTCAGTTTCTCTGGGTTTGACATCAACATCTTCATTAAAGTTTAGACTCACAGAAATAACATAAAACACAAAAAAGTACCCAAGGTAAAATAATCTAACCCTTAACCACCCCCAAAACCTTAATACAATAATCCTGAACAAAAACAGAGTCAAAAATTACAATACAAGGTTTCTGAATTGTTATAATTGCTGTAATAGATACAAACAGTAATCAAACATATAGCATTTGACTTACTTGATGATCCCATGAACTACATTTTTGCTCACATTTAGCCCTTTTAGATAATCCATTATAAGAATATATAAGTCTTCTTCATTCTGTAATTCTTCTATGTAGATTTCAGTAAACCTGTAAGGTGACAATACATTTAAAAGTTCAAGGTACCTTCATGCCAAGTCATACTAATTTAAAACTGAAGACTAAACACCATTCTGCCAATCATAGCATAAAAGTGTTATATGGTAATACAAGTTCTAACCTATTACAGAGGAACACCGCAATAGCATTTAGACTTATATTCTGCTCCATATTGCTTTACAGCATTCTCTGAGTGGTTTTCAAGTGTCAGCATATTGCCCCCAACAATCTGGATTCTCATTTTACCAAACTCGGAAGGATGGAAGGCTGAGTCAGCCTTGAGCCCATCAGGATCGAACTCCAGACTGTGGCAGAGTTAGCTTGCAATACTGCATTCTAACTATTGTATAGCATGAGCATTCAGGTAGGGCCCATTCCTGTATCTCATAATTTGCTTGTATATTATCTCAGATTCAATGGCAGTTAACAGTGGCTAACACTGTACAACATGACTTTCATCAGAAACAATCCTGTACAAAATAGAGAAATAATCAAAACCACTGTAACACAACTCCATATATACATACAAATAGTACTTAACTTACAATGGCAATTGAGACAAAAATTTCCATTGCTTAGCGACGGCAATCCCTGAAGTCCTGATTGCCATTATTAGCTGAATTCCACAGTGTTAGGTGAGGCAAGTTCCTGCCAGCTTCCAACAATCAAGTCAGTCAGGAAGGTGGCAGAAAGTTGTAAGCCCCAGGCAGGTTACTAGCAGGCCACAGGCAGGAAAGTACTGGGCGGTATGAGGAGATTCCAATGGTGCAAGGGACGCGTGACAAGGTATGGGTCGAGTGAGTGTAGGTTTGAGAGAAGCGTGGCTAGGGTCAAGGAGAGTGTGCAAGGGTGATGCAGTGAAGATTGGAGAGGGTGCACCAGAGTGTGTGAGGACACGCAAGACAAGGCATTGGCAAGAGAGGAAGAATCATTCACAGATTACAGCTATCTTAACAAGTCAAGCCAACATTTGAGAAGCCCTGAATACCACTATATGCTTTTTAAAAAAATGAGAGGCATTGACCTATACGTGTATTGGATTTTGTGAAGAAAAAAGTTCCCAAGCTATCTTCAACAAAGTGTCAAAAGTTGGATAAAAACAATTCACCTCAATTATATTATTCAGGATGATGTATGGACAGCTTTTATTGCTGCAAAAAGTCAAAGTGTTTGCCTCTTTGCAACGATAAAATTTAAATTTAATGTTTTTACAGCTCAAAGCTATACGAAGCAATACAGGAATGGAATTGGGAGGGAAGGATTCAGATTTGTTTTCTTTCAATTTTGGCAGAAATGTTTACTGAAGGATTTGTGCTGAGCTTACAAGGCGTTACTTCTCTTTTTCATTGAACAATGACAGGAAATCACACATTTTTTGCTGCTGAAAATGGGTGTTGTGTTTGGAGGGGGGGGGGAAAGAACTTACAGGGATTACAGGAAAAAAGCTGAGGGCCCTTACAGCCCCATAAGCAATCCAGTCCAACTGAGGTTACCTACAGAACACAATGTACTGGAATTTCATTAGTGAATCTCGCTAAGCAACATGCAGCTCTTTTGCTGTTAAATAATTTTGAATTCTACAGAGACAGTTCCATAACCCTAAATTTAATTCTATTGTCAAGTGCAGCCTACTAAGTACTCAGCGGGGAAATCAAAGTGTAAGTGTAGAATGTAATGCTTAATAAGCACTTGGCAGACCACCACTAATGACATAATTCTCACAGTTCTCCTACTCGCCATGCTAAATCAGATAGTATAGCCTACAATGGATCAAATAAGCATAAAATTCACTCATATATAGCTATCCATCTACTATGCAGCTTACTAGTAATGCTGACCTATCAGAAGATACCCAACAATGTTTTTTCCTTTATGTTTCCCAAGGGATCACATATAATTCTAGCCTTGCTCTGAATGTGATGACTCAAAACAAACTGAACTACAATTCCCAAAAGTTTGTACAATAGCATCATCTACTCATTCCAGAGACATACTGCTAAGGCTCTTTGCCTGTATATTAGTTCCCAGTATGGTCCAGTTAAAATATGATGCAATAAAGATATATTTCAGATATTCAAAAACATTTGTACTTTGCTTCATGAGCAAAGGTGGATTTCAGAACAATGTATAAAAAGAAAACAGTAGCAGTTCCTACTAACATCAGCTTTGGAATAATCATTTAATTTTGTAAAACTGGTTATTCTGTTTTTACCTGTTTCGTATTCCTGGAGGTAGATTTCTTTTTCCAACATCAGTAGCCGGATTCATACAAGCAAATAAATGAAAATTGGAATCACGTACCAATGGCTCTAAAATGAAAAAGCCCAGACATCCAATTTCAGTTCCAGTTTACCTCAGGAACACAAAGCAAAACATATTAACAAGCAAGCCTTGGGCAGGTGTTGTGTACTTAAAAGTTGGTAATAGGTAGTTTTGTTGCTTTATCCATATATTACTCATATTCTGCATTACTGAAGTTGATATTTCCGTAATTATCTATCAACTGTCTATAAAAACAATACCAGCCTCCTGATCTCATCAACTACATTTCCAAAGAACTGTGGCCAGACATTGACATTTCAAGTCTTTAACTCAGGGGTGTCAAACTCGCCGCGTCACGTGACATGTCATATCCCATTGCCGGAGCTGGGGTGGGCGCGGTTTCAACATGATGCATCTGGCCCACGGGCTGGCAGTTTGACACCCCTGCTCTAACTATTTAGTCGGTTTCGTTTCCAATTTATAAATGAAAAAGTAGTGATGTCAACTCTAAGCTGAATCTGAAACATACAGAAAAATAAAAATATTCCAAGAAAGAATGACACTGTGAGGCTGAAAGTGGATTGGAGCCAAGTTAAATTCTCTAAGACAGCTTCTGAGAGAAAAATAAATTTATCCTAAAATTCAGAATTCAGTGTCAATTCAAATTATAATTATGGGAGAAAAAAGGAATCACCCTTCCAGTGAAGTTTTCTATAAACTTGCCGCTGAAAAAACTAAGAACATCTCCCCTAGGACAACTATTGGCAGGTTGATGGCATCACATTTTAGTCTTTCAACCTTCTGCTGAAAATACATCATATGAGCACATCCACTTGCATACGAATATTATCATCTGAGGCTCCAAAACTTACCAAACCTTTACAGCAATCAAGATAAAATACTTTAACTAAAGAAAAGGTTATTCTCTCCATGTATGGGTTCTCCATGTATCTCAATCTTGCCTACCCCAATCTACTGCCACTTTTTGGTGGGTTATAAAATCTTGCTTTGAGACTGCAGGTCTTTTGAAAATGAGAGCATTACAGAGTTTATTTGGATAAATCATGGGGAAATGGGTATCTAGTCCAGCATTCTCAAGGCACAGTAGCCAAGTAAGTATGAATAGGAAATACATAAACAAGTACCAAATAATCAAACTTGTTGTCCTTATCCCTACCAGCATTAAAATATTGACTTCTGTACTGGATGGAACAATGTAAAGTTATCATGATATTAACTATGAGTAGCTTTCTTCCCCTTTACTCATCACCAATGGGTTTCCACAAGTGGTTTCCTCAGAAAGTTCTTGTCCAAACCCACAGACTTGGTATCTCTCACATTCTGAAGTGCAACACAAAAATCCCAATACAACCTCACCCATGTTAGAAGTCAAAATTATTATTTTTATCCCAGGCTCTTAAAAAGCATTGTAAACAAACATGTTACCAAACATCAAAATGTAATGCTATAAAACAAATAAAATACCTGTGTCTCCTCTGTCTAGTAAAACTAATGAACCAGACAAGCCTTCAAGTAAACCACTTAAACATTCTAAAGTCTCTGCTGTAGCTAAATTAATCTCATCTAGTAGAATCCATTCTCCTTTCTTCACAGCTTGTGCTAGGGTGCCCTGAAAACATAAACAGAGAAACGAGTTAGCATAGCTCACTTAAGCAGGCAAAATGAAGGAAGGAGAACGAAGAGAAATATCTATCTATCTATCTATCTATCTATCTATCTATCTATCTATCTATCTATCTATCTATCTATCTATCTATCTATCCATCCACCCACCCACCCACCCACCCACCCACCCATTTCTAAACTGTCCATCTCCCTCAAATTACAATATGTAATAAATGAAGGTGTATATATAATGGAAGAAGGTAAAATTCCTCTCCTGATGCAGTCCTTGGCCCTCTACTATATCTCTGAGATACAAGTAGTCCTTTAGATCAGGGGTCCCCGGCCCAGGGCGGTAGAGGCACTTTTACGCGCGAACAAGGCCATGATTATGCGTGTGATGCAAACGAAGCCACAAGCGCCCCGTGATGCTCGGGCGACGCTAGCACCCACGAAATGGTGCGATGCTAGCACAAGTGGGGATATTGGGCATGCAGCGACACTAGCATCGGCATGACAGCGCAATGCTAGCGCGAGTGGGGGTGCACTTGTGGTAATGCTAGCGTCCGCATGACGCACACAGAATTGCTACCATCAGCACGACACCACAATGCTAGCACGAGGGGATATATGCTCATGGCAACGCTAGAGTCCACCTGACACTCAAAGCATTGCTAGGACCTGTTTGACACCACGATGCTAGCTCGAGTGGGGAGTACGAGCGTGCACACGTGCGTGCATTGGCCAGCCACTCACGCAGCCCAGTGGCCAATAGGATGCAGGCAGTATTCAAAAGCACGCCCCCTCCAGTCTACAGAAAAACCTTTCTCCATGGCACCAGTCCCCAGTGCCCAAAAGGTTGGGGACCTCTGTCCTAAAGCACAATGTTACAAGACCATGCCATGATGATGGAAATTCCAGCATTTCCAGTTGTTGTCATCAAGTGAATCATGACAGGTCCTTAAGAGAGGACATCACATGGCTGCCATTTGCAATTCCCAACAGTTTCCTCATTGATTTTGCTTGTTGGAAGTCAGCAAGGTCGCAAATGGCAGTCATGTGACCATGGATCACCATGGGATGCTCTGTGATATCGTAATTGCAAACCAGGAACTGAGCACCCGGACTGTGATCAGGTAACTGCAGGGACGTTGCAACTGACATATGTACAAGGATAAGTTGCAACTACCACTCATTCAGCCCCCTATGTTTGAACAGTTACTGAATGGGTAGTCATTAAGTGAGGAATACCTGTATTCCTATAGTCTTCAAAGTGACATTTAAGAGATGAAGGCCACAGAAAGCGGCAGATGCAGGAGGACCCTATTTAGTATTTGTTCTATCTGAATATTAAAGGACTCACGGTAAGAAATAAAATCCTTTTTCTTTTTATCAATTTGCTTTGTTATTAGAGGGAAGAATTTACAGAAGGGTGCACCAGCCTCCCATAATCTCAGGTGCAATTTTCATGACAACTCAAAACTTAAATAATTGATACAAAAGTTAATTTTTAAATGCATCTTTACCTTCAAATAAATTTTTGTTGTGTGCACTTTCTAAAATACTTCTCCAGCCTTAAAAAGATTACATGCTTTTCATTAAATTCATGTGAGTGTAGGAAGATTTCAGAAGGTGCATCAATACCCAGAATATCCTGCAGCCATTATTTTTTAAAAATGGTAACAATAAAAATATTACCTCTACAAATGCAAAGACCAGTGCATTTTCTGTCATCTTCATCTGCTGCTGGGCATGATCCAATCGGATACCAAATTCTTCCCATTTTTCCTTCAGGGGCAAGCCTACAACGACACATTTCGTCATTTAAAACCAAGAGTGTAATTTGCCAGATTTGAAACTGTATTTCGATACTTGTTGTTTGGTCTGGCTAAAAGAGTGGGTGAACCTTCAGAATAAGAGGCTACTTGATTTAGAAGGTCGTGAATTAAGATTCGGACGGCACGGTTATTTATGGTATGACAAGGTTAAAGTAAATGTTGATTTTAACAATCACATTTTTAGACGTGGCATTCTAAGAGTTTGGAATAAATATGAAACAAGGTTTTCTACGAGGATGCCTCTTTGAGTGTTCTCCCAGGAAGCTTTTTTAAGAAAAGAAATGGTGGCAAAGCCAGACTGTTGGACTAATGGTAAAATAATAATAACTTTTAATTTTGGTGATCCTATCCTCAAGTCTAAGGAAGAGCTAGAATGAGAAGGTCATGTCTGCCACTGGTTTACAAAAGAAAGAAAGAAAGAAAGAAAGAAAGAAAGAAAGAAAGAAAGAAAGAAAGAAAGAAAGAAAGAAAGAAAGAAAGAAAGAAAGAAAGAAAGAAAGAAAGAAAGAAAGAAAGAAAGGTAGATAGATTTAAATTAGACAAAAAGAGCTATGGGTTTGACTTTATTAAAAATGAATTGGAAATCCTACTGGGTGATAGTGATGAACATATTATCGCTAAGGTCTATAAAATGTTACTGAATTTAAATTTAGAAAGTAAGTATGTAAAGCATTGTATGATTCAGTGGGCAAGGAACATTGGATACAATGTAAAGCTTGAACAATGGAAGAATATGTGGACAGGAGGTTTAAAATTTACATTAAATTAAAATTTAAAAGAAAATTTTTATAAGATGATGTATCGCTGGTATTTAACACCAGATAAGCTATCAAGAATGTATAAAGGTATTTCAAGTGAATGTAGGAAATGCAAACGTAAAGAAGGGACTTTTCATCATTTATGATGAACATGTGACAAAGCAATGAAATATTGGAACAGGATTCATATTCTAATACAGAAGATTCTCAAAAGTGAATATAAAGATAAAACCAGAAACTTTTCTTTTGGATTTAATGGAAAAAGACTTGGAATTATTATTATTTTTGGAACTTTGATGTTATATATCCTGATGGCAGCGAAATTACTTTATGCACAAAAATGGAAGGACGCTTTAATCTCCACAATGGATGAATGGTTGCAAAAGTGAATGGAGTTAGCAGAGATGGCTAAATTGACTGCTTTGATAAAAGAAAAAAAAACACAAGTACTTTTGTTTCTGCGGAAAATGTTTCTGGACTTTGTTCTTGAGGTGGAAAAAAATGAAACTTTGATTTTGAGTTTTACTCATTAGATAGATCTGTTATAGAAATGGCTAGTTTATACTATTATGTAAAAGTAAAAAGTTGAGTTTCAATGTTATTTCTTATTCTACTGCACCAGAGAGTCAGAAATCAATGCCTTTTCTTTCTTTTTCCTTCTTCTCTACACTTTTCTCTTCCCTTTCCCTCCCCTATTTTTCCTATTATTTGCTTTTGTATTTTATATTATAAACTAATAAAAAGGATAAAAAAAAACCAAGGGTGTAATACAAATGCTTATAAACCATCACTGTAATTTGGTGTAGTTCAAGACATAATCTGAATTTAACCTTGAAGGTGGTTTTACAAATAAGGCACTGAATGGAAATAGGGAATGCGTCAAATAATAAACATTTTATTGGCCATAATATTTATTATTATTTATAAATATATGTTTATGTGTGTTTATTATTTATAAATATGTGTGTTTGTTATTTATAAATATGTGTGTTTATGTTGTAAAATCCACGAGCAGGATGAGGATATTAGATAACTGCATCAAATATGTTAATAAGATGTGAGCCTTGTTACATTATTTTATTGCACCACTTGCCTAAGATAGTAGAAAAAAGCAAAAAAAAAATTGCAAAAATTTGATGCACTAACTTATCTGATCTTCCTTTATTAGGAAAAAAAGGATGGTCATACCATCTTGCTTTGTATCTACCCAGCTGATTTGATTCTGCAGTGTTGGCACACTTCAGGATCCTTCTCTGTAGCAGCACACACCTTCTGGAATGAACTCCCCCCCCCTAGATCCAGACTGCCCCTTCTGTTGTTTAAAAGACCTGTGAAGATCTGACTTTTCACCTAGGATTTTAATGAAGAAGAGAGAAAGAGACTCCTTGCTTCATTCATTCTCTCTGTTGTGCCTGCCACCCTTTAAAAAAAAATTCCCACCAAGATTTAAAAAAAGTCTGTAAAATTGTTCCAGCAATATATGTAGGATTCCCTAATCCAGTGATGGTGAACCTTTTAGAGACCGAGTGCCCAAAAACTGGCCCTGCCCCCGCTCCACCCCACCCCCTGCTCCACCCCCACCCCGTCTGCCCGCAGGGCCACTCATTGCTTCCAGGGCCCGTCCCAGATCACTCAGCAGCACCATGGCAGCCACGCCCTCTGGCCGCGCCCTGCAGCATCAATTGCGCGCAACGGGGCATGAGGGCAGAATCTTGTCTACGCTGCCTGGCTGCCATGTCCTTGACTGCACTGCTCTGCGTGGGCCACGCTCGGGGGCAACCCTTCTCCAGGAGGGCTGCTCGTGAGGAGGGTGTCATGGGGGAGGCAAGGCTGGGGCAACGGCACGTGTGCCCACAGAGAGGGCTCCGAGTGCCGCCTCTGCCCTAATCTTTCCCAATGACTTTAAAAAGGAAATATGTTCAAAGGCACGTCTGGAATACTTCATAATTCACAGATGTCTTACCGGATGCATTTTCTTTAACCTCCTTATTAACAGCAGATTTGTAAACATGTTGCATCAGTTTGAGAAGTTTATGCCAGTGATTTTGTCGGTAACATGTTTGGATATGCCCTAAAAAAGTCTGATTTTGCTTTCTTGAAAACGTCTGTGCAAAAAGCTCCTCGAAAGACTCTCTCAAGGGCAGCCAAATCAGCTTGTTATCCACTGGCTTATATCTGTAAAGAATTCAAAACAAAACAGCCTCATGAAATTGATGGCATAAGTCACTTAGAGCGGTAGTGCCCAAATTTGATCAATCGATCAATAAAAAATAAGACAAGCAAAGATCAGCTACAACATGGAATAAGATACGTTTCGTCAAAGTTTTCCCATTCCTGTACTTTTGCCTCCCCCTCCCTTCCGCCATTTACCCTTTGGGTGGAGCATCCCTTTCCCTCTCTTTTCTAGTATCTTTTCTAATCTGTCAATCAGCAAGCAATATTGTGCTAAAATTTTAAGGTAAGTGCTTCTGCAAAGCTACATCTACTCACCAAACATGACTTCTTTCCTCCAACTCTTGTTGGGAGGGCTTAATTTCCTTTTGATTTGGAGCTTTAAAAAATATATTGTATTCCAAGAAATAAAATGTATATTTCTATACTGCCAATATTGTTTGGTTAGGAAGATTATTGAGGGTTTTTTTTAAAAATTGAATTATCCACTCACCCGCCTAGAAGATCTGCAGTATCACTCTGCTGGTTCATGTTGATAACTTTTAAACGGTGCCCTTAGAACAAAAAGATACAGAAGATGAGGAATTGGTTCCCACGTTACACTTCTATCTTGGCTAAGGTCTCAGAACGGTACTTTACCTGTAATTTGAGCCAAGTATTGAACAGCAGAAGTTTTTCCTGTTCCCGTTTCACCCACAAGTAACACAGACTCTCCTTTGTCCACACATACTGCAAGTTGTTCAATCAACACAGAAGATGGGCGTGTGGGTGCAAAGCTTTGCTTTTTCCTGCCGGGGGTGAAAAGGCAGAATATCATACCTTTGCACCACCGGGTCTTCTATTCATCAATTCCCTAAATGTTCTTCTCTCCCACATCACAGAAACAAACACCCAATAATAAAAAGCTGCCATGGGATTTTGTAATTACGGTATAAGCACTCTACCGTATATTACAAATATACAGGAGAAAAAAAAGGGAATCACTATCTTATACATTACTATGTTGTAAAATATCACTAATTTCTTTTTTTTTGCATTTCTTTATTAGAAAGAAAGAATGAGTAATTTTTGGGACAAAGGGCCAGAGCCATACTTTTTCCTTTTTTTGCCCCTTGAGGACAGCTTGTGAGGTAATGCTGTCAGCAAAAGGAATAGGATTATGTCTGTGGGGTTATTAGCTTGTTTTGAACTCTTCCCTGAAAACTTCCAGAGCAGTTGAAAAAAAGGGAAAAAAAACCCTGTTCTTGCATATGAGAAGAGGGTTCAAGAGGAAAGTAGCTCTAGTGGGAAAGATCAAAAACTCTGCCGATGGAAGCATATGGCTCCCCTCATCTGGGTTCAGAAGATCTGCAAAAGCTGGTGTGGTTAGTACCTGAATGATGTACTAACATAAGCTAAATTGGAAGGTTACAAAAAATCCCAGAAAACATGGCAGCAAATCACTTTGTTATGGTTGTCAAGAAAGCAACACGGATGTGTCAGTCAGATCACTAGGAGTGAAGCTTGACTTCAGACCCATGCAGGAGTTTTAAAAACACGGAAGTTACAGGCTACACAATTAATGTAACCTGCAAATCTGACCCAAGTTTTTAGAAGGATGTCTCCAAAACAATCAATACCGTTGCGTAAGTAGTGTGTGTGCCTGCTTCTTAATGAGCTGAGCTCTTCCCACGGAGACTTCTTGTTCTCCTATTACAATTTCTGGTTTATAAAGTTGACAGTAGTATTCCACCTATGGAAAAGGAATGTTCAGATCTACCTTTATTTATTGAACACCAATTCATGTATAGCATTGTGAGTAGTGAGCTGTTTCAGCACACCAAAGTTACTTTGCTGCTTGAGAAGCAGCTAACTAATAAGTTTTCCAGTTTTCCCAAAGCTTCATGTTATCAACTGCTTTTCCAATTGCTTGCAAGGTGGATTCACCTCTTGACTGAGCCATCCTGAGTTTGCTTGATCTGACTTTAAAAATGATGTACAAATCCAGCTATCACTGTATGTTTTAAGAGCCCATTTGAAGAAACCTCCTTCAAAGTACACAACTATAACTAATTCTGAGTCATTTTTCCATTGAGAGAAGCACTCATACAGAAATAGGCAATTTATAAAGATACCTTGTGCTTGGAAATGTTCAGTTTGCTTCCAATGATTTCAGCCATTTTCAGTCGATTGGATTGTTTTGATAGCATAGCTGTGAAACAGTCTAATGCCTGTCAATGGACAAAGTAAAAAACTATTACTAGTTAAGAATCTATTGTCTCCGAATAAACCAACTGTAGACAAAAGCAGTTAACTTTCTAGAAATGAACCACTCATATACTCTTGTGATGGAAAGAAATGATCTTATTAATTTATTTCCATTCTTCTTATATGGAAACAGGAACATCTCAGAGTCATACACTTGAAAGAGGCCATTTAAACCCAACATCCAATCTGCAGTGTACGAATACACATCAGAATCCGCCCTAAACGTATTTCACGCAATCACCTACATGGTCCTACTGACAGTCTAATTGAACTAAAATCTATTAAATACTAATATTCTTAATCCTCCATCCATTATCTATAATTATCTTTATCCTCCATCCATTATCTAAAAAACAACTTAAATTTATGTTATAGAAAGTATATTTTTTTTAAAAAAACTCCACCCCTTTCCTAAAACAAGAACAGTTGAGTTCAAACCTCATGAAAAATGTTCAGTGCAGTAGAGGAGGAAGAACAGTTAAAGTTGAATGCGATTCTGTTGCACCAATTGAGTAAATCCCTGAAAAAAGAAAAGGCGATGTGAATATAATTTCAAAGTAATTGTTTTCCTTTGCTCTATCTGCCGACAACTATAGCTTCCTTCTCAATTCATTAGGTACCTACTTGGAACTGGTTTAATTTTCATTCAATTAATGCCTTATCAGTAGGAATTTCAATTAAAGCCCACACATATGATCTCTAAAACTCTAGAGCAGTGTTTCTCAAACATGGCGACTTCAAGACGTCTGGACTTCAACTCCCAGAATAGCCCAATCAGAAGGGTTGGCTGGGGAATTCTGGGAGTTGAAGTTCAGATGTCTTCAAGTCACCAAGGATAAGAAACCCTGCTCTAGATAACTACTGTCTGAGGATAATTTGCTCCCCCAAACTAAAATATTCCTCAGCTTAATTACACATTTTAATACCTTAGAGATAACTCTCTGCCCTCCAAACATGGCTTTTTATTTTCAGTCAAGCAAGATGCATCTTCCGTCATAGTTTCATTGTCCACAACTTGGTTTTCAGATAAATGTTTATCACCCGTAAGCTCAATGTAGATATCCAACAGACAATCTGTCACAGTGGCAAGTTTAGGATAACTTCTCTGAAGAATCTGAAGGAAGAATATAAGCTATTTTTAATACTCTTGACAGTATTGTATTGTTTTATCCTGAACATGGAATAAAGTTATAATCATATTCTACAAGTTTCAGTAAAAATTAACATAATGGAATACTTTTTTTCTGCAATTAAATTGCAAATTGTTTGCAATTTAATTTGAAATAATTTTGCTATGGAGCTAGCTTACTTTCTCTTCTCACTTACCTCTTTCAGTTCAGTCTTAGGCAAGTTGTTGAGCATAACTTTTGTCCAGTTCTTGTCCAAAAGAGCAGCATGACTGTTTTGCTGCCTATACCAACCACCGCCATAATTGAAGACTCTACATTAATAAAGCCACAGATTAGTGTTTAGATTCTTTAAAGCATTAGATTCCCGATGTGGAGAAGCTACAGCCTGACATTATTTAAATATAAGTCATGGATTATTTTTTCATTGGTCATGTTCAACAGACTGCTGGGAGTTGCATTTTAGCAACATCTGAAGAGACACAGGCATCTCTGCCAAAAATATTATAGGGTGCTCTATCCATCTGTCATTAGTACTATATGTATACAATTAGCTGAACAGATCAGGGGAAGGTAACTCCTATTTATCCAAGTATAATTGCATTCTCTTAGGGAGAACCTGGAACCCCCACAGAGCGCGTCCCTGGGTGGCGGATTGGGGGGGCCCTACCCATTATGGCTTTTATGCTGTAATGGCGGGTTGGAGGGAATCAAATACCTCATGTGGCTTCAAAGTCTAAGGGACTGGTTTCGACAAAACTCAGCAGCACTTTTTCGTGCGGCTGCTGATAAAAAATAGGCTCGCCAATATGATCGCCAACGTCCGATAACGGATATGGCACAACAACAAGAAGAAGAAAATTGCATTATCTTGGATGCAACCCATTTGCCTTAAGACTTCCAAAAGTCTTCCTGCTCAGTCATCTCTAACTGCGAAATGGGTGGCAAATAATAATAATAATAATAATAATAATAATAATAATAATAATAATAATAATAATAATAATAATAATAATAGATTCCTTGACTGCAACACCAAACTAAAGAAATTAAAATTTCGATAACAATGACAAAATGTTAGAATACCCCATTACTAATTTCCAGGTGTTCATTTGCTCATTATAACAGTCTCTAAATAATGGCATATGAGATTAATATTAATCTAATGTTAATAACAGGTTATGATGATCTGGTAAGAATGGTTAAATTCCTACAACACTATGAACTACTACTACTATACTAATTCAGGTATTATTCCTGAGTTTTTATATATACTTCTGCAATGTTTTTATCAACAGCATTTTAGATTCAAGGATTATATTTTTAGATATACTTAGATATACACAGAATTATAAGTATGCCTCCTCAAAAGCCCCATTGTCTCTATAAAACCATTTTAAAGTCATCATCAAAACCTCTCTAGCACTTTCTACCTTCTAGTAGCAAAAAGATGGAATCCAGGGGCTACTTTTATACAGTCATTTCGTCCAGGAATCAATAACTCTCCATTTTCCAGAAGAGGAATCAATACAGAGATCTAAGGAATAGAAAAAAAAGAAAAAAGTAAAAACTGAGCAAAATTGCACTGGGCAATACCTAAACTAGCAGGTTCATTCATGTTATAGGATTTTTTTTTCTCTTTTCCCAAAGAAGTTCCTAAAAATCAGATCCTCCAGAATCCAACCTCAGTACATCCCAGCCATTGAGGAGTCTATCTGCTCATTAGTTCAAGCAACTATATTGATCCTATTTAGCTGCAAACACACTGGACTGTCCGTTGTGCCATATGAGTCATCAGATGGGATAATAATAGCATGGTGTCCATGTTTTCCCATCTTGAAACATATGCAACTAATTCTCTAAGCTAACACATTTTTAGAAAGACACTTCCCAGACAGATAGTAACAAATGCTTTGACTTATTATAGGTATAGTAACTTCCATGGCCCCGCATAAAAAAGCATACTTGGGAATTGGGGGGGGGGGAGGGAGGGATGATGGGGAAGATATTCCATTCTAATTTGACCAGCATAGTTATAATGACACATTCAGCACTCAGTTGTAAACAAAATCCACAACTCACCCTCCTAAGTAAAAAGCACAGGGGGACTTCTGTCTGACAGAACTAATTAAAAATAAATAATCTAGAGTACTATCTGGGGAAATGAATTGCAAGTTTCCATGAAGTAAAACTTTAAGGGAAATTAAGCAGGATTCTCATTCCAAGCATTCACAAAGTGCTTCTACAGGTACAAAAACATACCACGTCAAGGGCAGCATAATCAATATCTTCTAAAAGTATCCAGTGCCCCCTGCTCACTGCTTGAGTCAAGGTCCCCGGTTGCCACACAAACTGTCCTGGTATATCTGTGCAACGATACATGCCCAGCAAAGTCTATTTAAAAAAAAACCAGAAACAAAATGTTTGTATCATTATTTTTCTTCTAAACTTGTGAGAGAGCTTCTGAATTACAACAGATTTCTGTTCTTTTCTTGCGAAGATAGTAAAGACATCACGTGTCAACGATTTGTTAAAAAGTGTGTGTGTGTGTGTGTATATATATATAAATAATAAATAAATATAAACAAAAATGTAAATGTTCATTTGTTCAGAATCTTAAATCTCCGAAAGTTCTTCACCGATTGCTTTGAAATTTTGACACAACGTTGCATTCGAATACGTGCATGTTTTTATATACCTACTATTATATAGATGTCACACCTGTGACAGGTAAAAACATGTTTTTGAAAAACAGCGCCATCTGTTGGACGTAAAAGCAACACACGCTAGCATTGTGAAATTAAACATATTACAAACATGCACTTTCTCTTTTCTTTCTTTTCCATTTAACCAGACTGAGCCACAGCAACGCGTGGCCGGGTACAGCTAGTGTATATATGTATGTATGTATGTTTTTCAAAATTTGGATTGCTAACAAAGAATTAAGGGAGAACTGGAATAGCTATTTCGAACTTTTTAGTTCTTTTCAACCAGACATACCCTTCTGAGATTCGAACCTGGGCTGTCTGCATGTTAGGCAGGGTGCACCAAACTCAAGATAATGTATGTATGTATGTATGTATGTATGTATGTATGTATGTATGTATGTGATGTACGTACATGTGTGTGTGTGTGTGTGTGTGTGTATAAAAAGCTTCCTAACAGCAGCAATCACAGCAAACTAAAGGATCACCAAAATGAAATGCACAGAGTGACTTCAATAATTAAAAGCCCTATTATGGATCTGCATCCCAGTTCCTGACACAAGTATCTAAAATGCATTTGCATGATGATGTTGTCAGAAACACGTCATTTGCCCTCTCTTGCTCTCCAGGATGATTATGCTTTCCAAGATGTGAAATTTTTAGCAGAAGTCAGTTATTTATATCTTGATGCTTCATCTCTGTCAAATGAATGTGCAGCCATCCAGAAGTTCAGCAGTACATTTCTTCACTACAGATCAATATGGCTTCTACAACAAAACATCAGCCAAGAAAGCATATGATCCAATTGGCTTTTTAAACTCTTTAAAAAAAAATCTAAATACTAAGGTCATACTTTCCTAAAATAGGTTTCAATTTACCTTACTGTCAGTTTGATCTCCTAACTGGACTTTCAGAATGTGAGGCGAATTTGTTCTTCCTGTAAGTGCTGCCAAGAACTCCACCAGAGATGTTTTGCCACATCCCACTGGCCCTTCAAGGAGCACGGCCTTTTGTGAAGACACAGCCATGGCCAGATTCTGGAGATGCGCACAGACAGAATTCACCAACACAAAATGGTTCAAGATGTATCCCTGCTGCAATAGAGAAGAGACAATGTTTTCAGCTAATATTAGATTTAAGAGGAACAGAACATAAAATAACCCAGACCTTACTAATAATTTCTTAACTATCTTAGGAATGAACTGAACGAAACATAAAATTGGAACCTGCTGGAGCAGAGAATTCCAAATCACGTTGCCTGTATATGGAAAAGAACACTTCTGTTTTGTCATATGAAGCTTCTCCTGAATCCGCTATTTGCCTTTCTCAAGTATCATTCTCTATAAAGAAACCTTCAGGGTAAGGAGAAGCCAGATTTTAAAAAAAACCCAAAACTAAAATCCAGTTCAGTGCTCTCTTGCTGCTGACAGCTACAAGAGCACTCTACTAACAGCCTGATGTATTCCCCATTGTTTGCCTGCTTACTCTCTTATAATCCCTTCCTCTCCAATTTCTCTGCACTGGGGAAGGGGGACAGGAAAAAAACAAGCAATTTTTGTAGGCAGTCTCTTTTCTGGCTGACCACTCTTTCAGAATGCAGGCATTCGCTAATGTTTTCCCTTCCCCTCTGGGAGGGGAAAATGCTATCTCAGAATGCGAACCTTCTCCCTGTCTGGAAGGCCCAGGCCCTCTGCCTGGCAGCGTACTTAACAATTTCAATTGGAAGAGCTGTGATTGTGGTCACTGAGCAAAGTGTCCATTCGGCAGGTTGCTTAATGATGGCTTTGCACAATGACCGAGATGCCAGGCCCAACTGTGGTTATAAGTGGAGGATTACCTGTAGATTGTAAATAACTGAAAAAACACAAGTCCTTAAATACTCTCATGCAAGCCATAATACGTATCAGTTTTACTTACATTTTCTCTAGGCTCAAACTGTTGTCTAGGTAAGACAACTCCACACACTGCTACCACCTTTGCACAAAGGTCAGCAGCAACCAGCTTTCCCTGAGTGTACCGTAGCTTCTCCCCTTTGTTCCAGAAGTTTTGGTCTGGATTGGCCAGAACTAGGGCCTGCTCAATGTTCTGCACCCGGGACTCTTCCACAAGCCTATCAAAATTGCAATTATGTTTACTACAGCAAACTGACCTACTAAACGATATAGAACACTTTAGAAAATAATACACCGAAAGAGAACAAATAGAAGAAGAGAAAGGTGAAAACTTACTTAAGCCTAAAATGTATTAACTCTTCTGGATTAAAAGTTTTCTTCAGGAAAGATAATCGATGCTCATCATTCATGCATGTAACCAAAGCAAGACAGCTGGCAGTATACCTAAGTAGGAACAATTGTTCAGGTAATATTTTATATGTGATTATTAAACATATTTTCTTTTAGAGAGATGAAAAATGGTTATTCTATTCCATGCAACCATTTAGTTTAATAGTTTCTCTAATCTATATCACTGGTTTCATGAAATCAGTTATAAGTTGCCCATAAAAATGGGCCATATCAGTCTTATTACCATTTTTAAATGTTAACATTTACCAGGAGAGGAAAAAACCTGATAACATAGAATTAATGTAATGAGAAGAACAAATCAGAGAAGCAAGTTTTATGTTTTTGAGTGAGACTAATGAAGGATTCTGGACTTCAACTGTGGAAATCTACAGTATTATCCTAATGAGATTTCTAACAAATCTGATTGCTTCATCAGATTTAAACCCAATATCCTGATGAAGGGATGAATTTTACAGGAAAAGAAACAAATACCATAAAAACATCAAATTAGTTTGTCTGGCCACTTTTCATCATTACTTTGACTTTGATCTGATTTTCTAGCAAGATCACTTATTAAATTCAGGGTAATCGAAGATAAATGTTTAACATTAGATCCACTTTCCAATAGAAATAAAGAGAAAACATTACCCATTTACTAAAAACTCTTTTAAGCAAAAATTCAACTACCTTGGAGATTTTATGAGTTCTAATGAGATTTCTATCAGAGCACTTTCATGTATCAATAAGCACAAAATGCATATAGCAATTTCCATGACACAAACTTGTCCATAGACACATGGCAATCAAGTTATCACACACAGTATTCTAAATGAAAGATGCAAGAACTAATTTATATGCACATCAGGAATAATTCTCATTTTCTGGGGATCTAACGAAAACTTTGTCTGACAGTCCATTTTGCTACATAAAGTTACCCTGAATAACTTTACTGAATGTTCCTCTGCCTGTCAATTTAGAAGCTCTTATACGGTCAGGTAATCTTGTCTGCTTTAAAATCTAACCCATGAATTATGTAATAAAGATAAAAATGACTTGTAAGGCCTTCCCTATTCATTAAATGAGCCACATAAATGTAAGAAAATTAAAGTTACCATCGAACCAAAGTATCATGACTCCTTAATAAAGGGACACAAACACTCCAGTCCCACAACTCTCTGAATACAGACTGATCCTTTTGGAGAAATTTGTAGGCTGCCTCCATGAGATCCCTTAACTTCATTCTGCGCCGTCCATATCGAACCACACTTGTATCCGAACTTTCCAGGAAAAGTCGGTGAAACACAGGCGAAGTATCCTTGAAGTATTTCAAAGCAAATCTGCACAAAACAATAGTACCAAGAATAATATACAACCACAGCAAAAACAGCGCACAAATTTCAACTTATTCAGTGCCCATGAAAGATTTTGCTAGAACACATATATCATGCTATTATCTGATGAATTTGGAAAATAATTTTAAGTAAACGTTGACAATGGCCACTTTGGCAGACTTTATGTTAAACAAGCATAATTAAGCTAAAATCTTGCTTTTTCAGAAATTAAAGTCAACTACATATCCTAGAAGAAAAACTATATTGAAATTTGTATATGGAATCCTGAGTATTGTCTAGAGAGAACACCATTAATTTCCAATTTTTACAATAAAGGGCAGAATAGAGATGTACATAATCATTACAACTATGTAACACTTCTGTTTCAGATCCAAAAAGGTGCTCCTGAATGCGCAGAGGCACAAATATGTCTAACTGAAAAGAATTGATCGTTAAATAACTAAGTCTTCTCAATTAACTGGAGTTCTTGAAAAATACATGAAGATAGGCATAAGCAAATTGTTTTGTAAAATATCTCTTTTTTAAAAACTAAAATGCATAGGCAACATCTCAGCTCAATACAATAAAACTGAAACTAGTTTAGATGGAAATGCTTGATCAGTGGGACAATTTATTGACTTTTATAAAAATTTCAGCTACACAATTATGTTTTTGTAAAAAAAAAATCTTAGAATTCTTACACTGCTTACATGCAAATCTTCTGGAAAAAAAGTTCCTAAACAATTTAATATATTTAATATCATTATAGTGTACGGTAATAGCATTTTATTTTGGGGAAAAGAGGGACCATTTTTCAAGAGTTGGAATTTTGAAGGATTTCTGCAATTACTTTAACGCTGTTCCTGAGACAAATGTTTTGATAAATTTTAAAATTTCATGTCAACCTTTTTAGTCTAAAAGAGAAGGGCATCATATCATACATATTAAAGAGAATTAATTTAATATGAATAATATCAGGTAAGGAACCAGTATAAAATGATTTTCAATAAAAAGTTTTTCAAGTCAAGAGACCAAATTCCATACATATATGTCAAGTTTAACTCACAAGTAATTATCTATCACAATCTTTTAAGACCACCTAAAGAGAGATCAACAAAAGCTGCAAACACTAATATAGATTTTTCCAGTGTAGAAGCCAAACAAAGTCCTGAACCAGTATCTGGAAGTTGTGAGGATAAGGCAAACCCAACTCAGATGAAATCCTATAAACTGCTGTTGTCAATAAATATGTTGAAAATCCAACTCACAATGGCCACAGTAATTATTCTGAATATGGTCACATTTCTTGCAAATAAAGTAAATTAAAAAAATTGTAACGGGAGTCCTCCTAGACGCTTGATTATGGAAATTTTTTATTTTTCCTTTCTACTTTCTTGATTTGTTGTCCTCTGACCAGAGTCTGTTAAGACTGGAGCAGGATATAAATATGTTCAAATAAAAATTAAAAAACAAAATGTCTAGCTTAAATAGAACCTAAGAAAACAACTTGGTTTTTAACATAATATTATACCAATCCATATATGCTTCATATAACTGAAAAAAAGTAGAATGTTAAGCAGATACTCAAACAAGTTCAAGGGAATCTAATTACTTAGTGATATAGCTGTACACATGTAAGTCCAATGTGAATGCTATGTATTAACTACAATTCCCAAGCTGAATCAGAGCCCAACATGTACATATTTTTTTTATTCTGGATAATCATGAGAACCCATTGTTAGTCTCCGTCCAACTATCTGCTACTGTATATTATAAAATATGTACACTTATATCATCACTTACGGCATCACATCTGGATGATCACCAATAAGTTTGCTCATTGCAACACAGAGTCTCTCATGAAGATCATGGTTGATCTGGCCACAAGATTTAATTGTTTCTGCATTTCTCTCCAATAAATCCAATAAGATTGGACGAAGCTGACGGCCAATCAAAAGTGTGCATTCTTTATCTAGCAATAACTGTGCTAAGGCAGTGAGAATGCCCTGACGGTCCTGATGACTCCAGATCTGAAAAGGAAGAGACACCAAATTAAAACCAGGATGCTCCCCTATCCCTAATTACGTTAAATCATCATTAGTACAGAAGACAAATATGGTGCCAGTTGCCTAAATGAGCTACAAGCATACATATATAAACTAAGACAAAAAAGTGTCAGGAAAAATGCAGAGACGGTTAGCGAGAGAGATTGAATACTGGTATTTCTATCTGCCAAAAGATTCTCAAATGTTTTTGAAAGAGTCCTTTATCAAAAACAAAATTAGCAAAATTAGCAGCCAGGAGGTAAGAAGAGAGTTATTCTTTAACCAGAATAATTGGTTAAAGTAAATATAGAAGATAAATACTGTACATGGACAGCTCTTTTGCTACAGGAATATAGAGTGTTACCTTACAACTGATATTTCTAAGTTAACTATATTTCAAATTCACTATTCCTATCATACACTGTATTGTAGTAATGGTCACAAATGTGGATAACTTAAAAAAAAGGATCAGGCAAATATAAGAAAAATACCATGAACTTAACAGCTAACAAATAGACGTTAGTTCTAGAATCAACAAAAAAAAGTATCTATAATCCCATACGTTATTTCTGAGATAATCTTTGTTTCCAGATGCAATTCAAGGTGCTGGTTGTTACTTATAAAGCCGTACATAGCATATGGCCTGGTTGACTGCCTGTTTCTCTTGATTCTCCACTTTGGAGAATTGGCACCCTCCAAGTTCCTTCAATTAAATAATGTCATATGTTGGGATACTGGAAGCATGTCTTCCCTGTAGCATCATCCACCCTCTCAAAAAATATTCCCAATGAGCTCCAGATGGCCCCCTCTCTATTATTGTTCAGAAAAGAGGTAAAAATCTGGCTCTTTGCCCAGGTCTTTGGCAAAGGAGAGTAAGATCCTTCTCTTCATTCCATCTGGACTGTTGTGTTTGCCATCTTCTATTGTTTGATTGTTGTGAGCTATTCAGAATCACTGGGAGTCAGCAACATACAAATGGTTTGTTGCACAGTCAGTCAGATGCTTAGACTGGATTTGATATTTGTATCCAGCTATCAAGTCTACCCTGACCTGGGGGAGGCAGATGCTGTTTGGTGGTGTTAAAGATATCATCACAGGATGTAAGCTGTTCCAAGTAAAACTGCCTTTTGTAATTGACTGATAGTGATTTTGTCAATGCCAATTCAAGTTGTGCTCCAGTTATTTCGGGATTGCATCTAAGGCAATCTAAATCCAAATCTAAAATTTATTTTAGAAGTGGATTAATACAACATTATTCTGTGTAAGGTCTTAATACTTAATTTTAAGTCATAGCTTAATTTAGGTTTTATTATTACTATTTTTTTAGAGTGTTCTTGAGAAAGAAGTGTAATGGTTAAGGAATCAGGCTAGAAATTATGATACCATTAGTTCTAGTTCTGTCTTAGGCCCACAATCTGGTGAGCAACTGTGTACCAGTCATTGATCATGACTTATATAACAAAACTATGGATCAGCACATGTGAATGAGGAAAAGCAAAAACAAATGCCCAACAATGGAGGCTTTTTAGCAACAAAAGGATATCACTGCTGTTCAAAAATGTACCATGGCTGTATGCTAAAGAACTGAACATTTTTTCTTAAAGCCCTAATAAATAATCTTGCGATTCCTGAAAGAATCCCCTAGAGCATGGATGTCAAACGTGATGTATCACGGCTTTTTTTGCATTGCCGGAGCTGGGGTGGGCATACCCCTGCCCTAGAGTTTATAAAAAATGTGAAATCTTTCCTTCTGAGGAATGTGAAGAGGGAGGGAAATTCATCCTTTTATATAAATGCCTTCTCCCATCCCCCACACCCAAGTCTCAAAGATACCAGAGATGTAAAATTGGTGTCCTTTGAGAAGCTGTTGATCTGCTCCCAAAATATCAGCATGTTTGAGGGAGAGAAATACTTGTTTCCATTCCCATCCTGCCAGCAAGAGTTCAGTGTTTGACATACTTTCATGTCAATCCAATGAGGTTACTTGCTCATTCTTATTACTACCATATGCACAACACTTAGCCTAGGGTTGTTATTGATGTTAATCAATTATTCTTCACACTCTACTGCTGAACACATACTGTAGAGCATAGCAGTTGGGCAGCTATGGCCCCTTCATGACCTGTGTACTCCAACTCCTGCCATACTGGCTCAGAAATTCTGGAAGCTGAGATCCACAGGTCGTAAAGGGGTCCTAGTTGCCCACTCCTGGCGTAGACTATATGCTAAAATGTCCTCATTTTAGATGTACTACAATAGTCATGCTAGCTAGCCCAATCTCTCCTGGAAACTATGTGAAAATGAAAAAGAACAGTATTTTGGAAGATGCTTTCCCCTCCTACCCTGTAAGGCAGTGTTTCTCAAGCTTGACAATTTTAAGGCATGTGGACTTCAACTCCCACAATTCCACAGCCAGCAATGCTGGCTGTGGAATTCTGGGAGTTGAAGTCCACATGCCTTAAAATTGTCAAGCTTGAGAAACACTGCTGTAAGGCAAATTGCTGCTGAAAATTCACACATGAAAATTTCACATTCTTCCCCTGTCTCAAATCCATGGTAATCAGGCCTATGACTTATGGGCAACGAGAAGAATACCAGCCTCGTCCTGAACCCCAGTAAGACTGAGAAATCTTCCAAGCATCAAGAGCCAAAGTTCTCGGGGCTGAGGAAGACACAAGAGGAAGCGGGCGAAAGGGTAACACACTAGCCTCGTTTTAATCTCTCGCCGGAGGTCAGAAAGTTTTCCAAAATGCACCGCATTTCTCTTGGAGGCGACCAGGCGGACAAACGGAGGAGGCTGGCCAATGTTGTTCGTTGCCGTTGCGAGACGAATGGAAGGGATTCTCCCGCATCCCCGCTTCTTCCCTCCCCCGCTCCCCGACCTCCTCTTCAGACAAAGAAGGTGAGACCCAGCTCGCCCTCTCTCCTCCTTAGCTTCCAGCCAGGCCGATCCCTTTCTCGAAGGCCGGGGCGGAGAAGAGGGACGGACACCCCAGCCAAGATTACCGCGCTCCATTCCCCCTTTGCAGGTCCCCGCCTTTCTCTCCCACCCGCCCCGGTGGCCTAGGGCGGAGAGGGCGCCGCTGCCATTGTGGCTCTCTCCCACCTGTTTGGCCAGGAACCTGCTGAGCTCGCCGCTGCTCCTCTCGTTCCTCTGCGCTATTAGTTGCAACGGTCCCGCTAGACTGAATTGCAGATGCTCCATCTTTAGGCGCCCGCGGGAATCCCTTCGCCTGGAGGGCCCCTTTTCCCGGGGAAGGGAAAGGAGGTGTGCACGCCAACCTGGCCAGAAACCACTCTCGCCACCCACTGTTAGGAGCGCGACACGTGGGAAGAGTGAGTTTCGTTTTCCCCCGGAATTCCTACGTCATCTTCCAGCGACACAAGCCCCCACTGGAGCTTTCTCCGTGTTGCCTTCTGACCGCTCCTCCCCTTGGCGGACGCCAAAACAAAACCTATTCTTGCGCGTTCCAGTTATGCTTTGCGACATCTCTCCATAAACACATAAGTTAATTACTATTATTATTACGACGCAGTTGTACTATACTTGAGTTGCTGGGATTTGTTTTCCACCCTGAGTTTTTCAGCCCCGAATCAGTCCAAGATGTATTTTCGTTACTGCTTTTTCATAACTATTTCTCAAAAGCGGTCTTAATGGATTTTCCAGAGGAAAACATTGTCATATGAAAGTAGTCAATGGGAAATTCTGAGGAAATATTGAATTTGCGATGTTCAGTAAGGATGCGCCTATTTCAGTGGTGGCGAACCTATGGCACGGGTGCCAGAGGCGGCACTCAGAGCCCTCTCTGTGGGCACTTGCACTGTCGCCCCAGTCCTAGGCCTTCAGCTGGGTTTTATAAAACCTTTTCGCTTTAGGCCTCTGCTGCCATGTGCAAAAAAAAGAAGGTTCAATCAATCAATCAATTTCAACTTCTCCGGGGGAAAAAAAGATCTTGCAAAGTTGGAATTGATTGACTGAACTTTTTAGTCCCACCCAGTCTGCTGTTACCACTGCAGCCACGCCCACCCAATGGGCCATGCCCACCCAATGGGCCACGCCCACCCGGCACCCGACGATGCATAAGTGGGTTTTGGGTTGCAGTTTGGGCACTCGGTCTCTAAAAGGTTCGCCATCACTGGCCTATTTCCACTCCGTATCTACAATATTTTCTCTAAACAGTTAAAATGAATATATTCGAATACATCTGCACAGAATTCCAACAGATTTCTAAATCCTGTAATCCTTTATTTAGAAGCAAGTTCCATTTAATTAACCGAACTTCTAGAACTGCAGTTTGATACATATGCCTTCTATAAGTCAGAAACTTGTTTTCTGTCAGCATTTTCTTGCTCAGAGGAGTTGAAAAGGTTGCCAGAAAGTTGCCCATGATCATTGTAATAGTTTTAGATAAAGGCTTAAAATTTAACAAAGTTTAAGCAGTTTCTTATACTGTTAGTGCACAATGATTTATAAAATAGCCAACTGCACTTTGGCATTTCATGTGACATAAGTTGAACTCACAACCAACATAAGACAGTCTTTGACACACCCAGCAGCTTTTGAATGCCCATTATTGTATATCAGTGTCCTACATTTTATTTGCTGTTACTTTACTATTTACTATTCTAGCCTCCTCTCTCAAGCACTTACACCCCTTAAGCTGCACTGCAAGTCACCTGTGAGTTGGGCAGCCATGTAAATTTAATAAATACTAAATAAAGATATGAAAATCCTTAAGAACATTATTAAAATAGTTCTGTTGAACTGATACTCTTTAGATTTTATTCTCTAATACTTGCAAAAACTCCTGAATAAACTGATTCTGAAAATTAGTAACCAAGTTATAAGAGTACATGAACTTGAAATCCAGTATATAGTGTAGTTTGACCCTTGAAAGCATCAAACAAGCTACAGCACTCTAAATACTGAATTCCAAAGCACTGTCTATAGATTATAATGGCAAATAAAATCAAATAATAACATATTCAGTGCAGCATAGAAATCAGACTGGGCCATAAAAAAATGCTGTAAAAAGTGTAGTCTGTATCCTTCACAAGAGACTTTGTTCTTTTGCTACAGAATACATAGGTGCCTAATTTAAAACTGTGGTATGAAATTTAAAGTTACTCACATAGCATTATTATATTGCCAATATTATATAGATAGTACATTTTAAACATTACATTCAGTGACTGATGTTTGTGATTCCTTAGTCATCTCAGTGTCTATTACAGTTTGGCAGCACATAATATTAATATCTATTGCTTTGGAAATGTGGCTTACAAACACTTGTCTTTAAAATTAGACTGAGTAGGTGGGAGTCCGAGATAACTATTTTACTAAAGTATTCTTGTTATAAAAAACCTTCAAAATCATCATAGGTTAGCAGTATAAACAAAAATCCATAGAACAAATAACTTTAACCAGTTCTGAATGTTTTGTTGTTTTCAATCTAGAGCAGGGGTAGGCAACCTCGGCTCTTTTATGACTCATGGACTTCAACTCCCAGAATTCCTGAGTCAGCATAGCTGACTCAGGAATTCTGGGAGTTGAAGTCCATGAGTCATAAAAGAGCCGAGGTTGCCTACCCCTGATTTCTAGAGTAAATCAAGTAATTAAAATGATTCCGGTAGGCAGGACTCTCTGAAGCTTTTTGGCGCCAAATGTTTTCCTGGAGGAGGCGGGATCTAGTGATGTCACGCCGGAGTACGTGCTTCAGCGTCTTAAGCGATTGGTTACGCTTTCCTGGCTTCACCTACCCCCGCCGGTTTGGCCTGTTGAGGGGGGGGGGGGAGTATCTTGCGAGAAAGGCGAGAAGATGGAAGTCCTGGCGGTTTTGAGGGGCGGCGGGTGTCTCCGCCACGCCCGTTGAGACTCGGAGAGGAACAGCAGGACTCCGGTTCGTGAGGGGGGATAGAGACTTGATGGCGGTCTCCGGCCGGGTGGTTGGGGAGCTGTTGCGGGCTGGTGGTGCTCGGAGCCTCTGCTTTCGCCTCCCCCCAACCTGCTGCCTGCCAGATGTGCTGGACTTGGATACCTGTAATCGCAGCCCTGTGGCTGGGCTACCCGCATCTGGAGGGGCACCAGCTTGCGCAAGGCGGACGTACCGGCCCCGCACCCCACTTCGCCCTGCTTTCCGTCAGCTCGGCCCAGTCAACCCTGGGCCGCGCCGACGAAGGAGGGGGATTTCTGCAATGACAAAATGGGGTTATCCTTCCCCGGGCTTTAATGGGGCTTTAAATGCAGGCTCGCCTCTCGTGGTACGTCGGAAACGGGCACTAGGGTACAGTAGATCGTGTCTTGCCATGGTCTCCTCCCGATTCCCTCCTTTTGCTTTTAGCATGGGCTCAGGGAACAATTGACAATCGCTGCCTCTGATTCGCTTCCAGAACTAGCCAGCCTCTTAAGGCTCCGCTCCGTTTCTGGTGCAGTTTATTTTTTTCAATCTAGTCCTAGTCCCAAAGGTGCTTTTTTTTTTCTTTCCCTGTCAAAAGACAACTGGAGTTTGTTTTTCCTTGAAGACGTTTCGCTTCTCATCCAAGAAAGCTTCAGAACTCCCGAAGCTGCTTGGATGAGAAGCAAAACGTCTTCAAGGGATAAACAGTTGCCTTCTGAGGGAATAAAAAAGCACCTTTGGGATAACCATGACTGAGAATCTCCCTAGACAAACCTAGTTCTAGGTTCACAAAGAAGAGGGAGTCAAGCTATTTTCCAAGGCGCCTGAAGGCAGGACAAGAAGCAACTGGTGGAAACTGATCAAGGAGAGAAGCAACCTAGAACTAAGGAGAAACTTCCTGACAGTTAGAACAATTAACCAGTGGAACAACCTGCCTCCAGAAGCTGTGAATGCTCCATCGCTGGAAGTTTTTAAGAAGAGACTGGACAGCCATTTGTCCGAAATGGTATAGGGTTACCTGCCTGAGCAGGGGGTTGGACTAGATGACCTCCAAGGTCCCTTCCAACTTTACTACTACTACTATTATTATTATTATTATTATTATTATTATTATTATTATTATTATTATTATTATTATTATTTACAGAGTGCTGTACAATTTAATTGGGGGAAATTCTTCAGAGCTGTCAGACTACAACTTTTTGGAAGTCCTTTCTTTGGCATCTCTGGCAAATTAAGTGTGATGGGTGGATATTAGAGAGGATTTTGGGAGTGAGAACACCTTTGTTATGATTTGCTCTGTCAAGCAGAAAATAACAGCATTCTGATCGTCTTGTGATTGGGTTTTCCCAACCTACATTGATGTATCAAGAGTCTACTTCCTTATCTACCTAATGTTATTTGCGTATTAGATTCCTATTACTTTACATTTTTCATTCCGGAGCTCAAAGCCACACAGTGCTTTCTCCTATTTTTTAACACAAACGTTGGATGGGTTGAAAGAGACAGAGCTGAAGTTACCCAATGAACTTCTGTGACTGATGGTGGATTAGAACTTGGGTCTCAATGCTCCTAGTCCAACACTCGTAAACACTACAATTGAAAAACTTTTATGAAAGGATGTGATTTTGATTGAAATATTTACATAGTTACTAGATCTATGTCCCATCTTTGTTCAGGAGTTCAGCATGACATACATAATTCTATATTCTCCCATTTTTTTCCTCTGTAGCAATCCTGTGAGAAGTAGATTAAGCTAAGAGATAGTGACTAGCCCAAAGTCAAACCAGTGAGCTTCTGTGGTTTGCCTTTCATATAAAATGATGGGCAGTTTGCAGGTTACGTGTGGCCCCTAATCACATGATGAATATAAGCCAATAGTGTGACATGGCTGTCAAAAAAGCAAAAGTGAAAGTTTAAGGCAACATCAGTAGAAAACCAGTTTCTGAAGCATAGGAAGTGATAGTTTTTCATTGATTCTTGAGTGCTGTGCTCAGTTCTGGGTGTCATACCATACAAGGGAATCAGATAAATAGAACAGATGCAGGTATAAAAAAACAGGTATAACTAAATCATAGCAGACACTGAAAAAATTGGACAATTTAGTTTTTAGAAAGAATATCTACAGAAAATTATAGCACTTGTCAAAGTTGAGTAACATAGAAAAGGCTATGGCATGACATATTCTCTATCAGTCACAGAATAATGGTTCCAAGAAGTCAGATTCCAGTTAAAAGTTAAGGCAAACTTCATGATGGGAAAAGCAGATATGGTTCTAATCATGGAACCAATTACCCAGGACAGGGGTAGGCAACCTTGGCTCTTTTATGACTCATGGACTTCAACTC